TGCATGTGGGGGTCTCACTGTACAGTATTCATAGGGCGTGGCTAGTTTTTCAGTTTCATTTGAAAAAAAATTAAGTTGAGCCATTCACCATCACGATGCATTCCGTTTTACGAGATTCTGTTGAATTAAGCAGTGTTATCATTATTATCCCTCCTTTACAAATAATTTCTGACACACTCGTATCGTGGTGGGAGGAAGCATCTTAAATCAAATACCATATTCACACTTTTCTCTGTTTGAGTTTCTCTTTCTGCCGCGAGACTTGGAATTTATGGCTTCTTATGAAAATATGAAAATTTTTTCAGTATTCATTCCGGTTTCTTTCTCTTTTTTTTTTTTTTTTTTTTTTTTTTTCGCATTTGGCAACAACAAATCAAATTTTTTACCCTAACTTTTAAACTTTACAAAGACGTGGCCACTGGAAAGGTAAACATCTTTTGGAAATTATTGTTGAACTTTTTCCGTAGAGTTGATAATTTTTTCTCTTCAAGGTGTGCTTCTCGTGTCGTAAAACGAGATTCGGTTTTTTTGCAGCGCATGTGGCAGCAGCAAATCGACTGTCTGACGCTAACTTTAGACGAAGTGGTTCACATTCGAAGTGTTCTTACGAGGGCGGAATTGGAGACGCTCCTGTTCGACATGAAGGAAATGTTTCTGCACCGGTGACCTTTCCATTTGTAGAAAACCTTTAATAACAACTTGAAAAAGGCATCTCAACTATTAAAAAAGAGAAGTTCCACACGAAGAGCACAGCATTTTGCTCTAAGCCAAAGTTTGGGAGCAAAGACTACACCTGCAAATTGTGCGAGCAGGTCGTTTGTCGGAAATGCTGCGCAAAGGTTCGTTATCTTCGGTTTGGGGTGAAAGGGACATTTTTATTTTATTTTTAATGGTCGATTTTCCTGTACGTTTGAGCAGATGGAAATCCCGTTGGATCATATCCAGACTGTCCCTGTGTTCTTTCTGAGTCCTCCGCAAAGTGGTGATCCGAGTCCGGTAGATCCTGAAGCTCACACGGGTCCTCGATCTCTCTTATCGAAATTGGAGGGCTTATACAAAAATAATTCTTCGCATTTAAGGTTAGTGTTTAATGCAATATTTCGTTTCTGGGTCCTTATTTCTTCTGAAAATTTTCAACGTTGAAACTTTTTTTATTCTCTCGCAGAAGTTCAGCCAGCAGTGCACCGAACTCACCGAAATTGTCACGTTCCAATTCAACTGCTGCAGAATCTCAAATTTGGCGTTCGAAGTCGCCGCAAGTTCTGAAAGGAGGGTACGTAATTATGGGGAAAGTGTATGCCCAAAAAGGTTTTTATCCCTTTGAAACCCAGGTTTTCATATACTGTACGGAACCAGCTTTAGAATTACAGTTGAACCTTGATAACTCGGATCTTCAATACCTCCCTGTATTTATTGTATTCTCTTCAAGTCCCTATCTAAATTCCCGTAGGAAAAAAGCATTGAAATTTTTAAAACCAACTCGAACATCCATAACTTGGATTTTTGATGGGCTTTTTGACCATTTTATTGTCGTGTGAGAGAGAAAAGCAATAGGAGTGAAACTTGAAAGTATTTTTTGAAAGTAAGTGACAAACTGATGGGGCAAATGAATCCTTGCCTCCAAGTTCAAAATCCACTTCAGAAAACAACTCATTTAAAAAAAATTTAGAGCCGAGAATATCACGAAGTAAAATTTCCTGTAATTTTTTTCCCCAACAAGAAAATATTTATTTCATTAACGAAGTTTTTTGCTGGTCCCTTGAAGAGGTTCGACTGTTCGACTTCGAAATGGTGTCAGTATAGATTCAGAATCGATTTAATAAACACTGAAGAATGGAAGAAAGGAACAGTTTTCCTTGAATTTCGATTCTTATAACGAAAGGCACGAAAGCTAAAAGGAATGCATGCCATAAGCATCGCGTGAATCACGCCCAGTCTTGAATTTTGGGCAAGCAGAATCACGGATTTTGGATATCCTCTCGTCTCATTCATTCGCAGTGAGAAGGGGTCGTCAATTCTGAAACGGGAAACCATGAACGTATGCACGGATTGTCAAGTGATGGTCAAACAAATCATCCTGTCGTCGCAGAAAGCCCTGAGAGCAAAAGGCAAGCGAAGCACCAGCCTGGAAAAACGAAATCCAATGCCTCAGAAAAGTCTACCTGAGTGATGACTTCGAACTTTTTTGAATTCAGCTCCTGAAAAAAAAAAGAATCGGTGCTCTTCCTCATTCATCAGCCACCTTTTTCGCTTTTAATGAAATACTTGTGCTTTTTGAAGTGCGTTTACAAAATATAAGTTCAGCATGAACAAAAAGATCATTCGCGCAAAAGGACAGCTATGTGAGTACTGTATTTTTAGCCACATCTCACGAGAAAGATATGGATGAACTAATGCTGTAAAATTCGAAGTTGTGATATTATCGGAAGGCTTAATCGACGATTCCTGTGGAGAACTTCTTTTATTGCTCACGAAATTGACTCGTAACTACTTCTGCTCCGTGAATTGTCTTCAGCTTTTTCCCTCGAATTTCCTGCAATTTTATAACCTGGAATAGAAGCATAGCAATGCAGAACTCTGACTTCTGAGAAATTTACTGCAAAAACTCTATGCCTACACGGATACGGGTAGAAATTTGTTGAGTGAGGTTGGAGAATCTTGAGAGTAAGATTAATTTTTTGTTTTTTCATCAGGGGAAAAAAAAAGTTTGTGCCATGTCAAAACTAATTCAACTGATTTGCTCCAAGCTCCGGAATCTCTTTGATTGAACTACTTGAGAAAGTTTTGAGTTGCTGTCGCAACGGGTCTGTGATATTTTGCGTGGAACGTTTTTTCTTCGTTGAACGAAATTCCAAACTTTTTTTTGCACTTTTTGATTCTGTGAGGGCATCGATTTGCTTCTCAGTTGTGAACAAATTTTGAATTGTGTATCCGTTGGTTTGTTCAAAAGAAAAAGAAAAAAAACTGTTTTCCTATTGAATAGAGTGTGAGGAAAGGAACCCATTGTTACCTCAGAGAATATTTCCAGGGCTTTTTTTTCCCTTCATTGCATTTTCTGTTCTGTTGATCGCATACCTTCCGAAAGATATTCCTCGTGATGGTGCCATTTAGTCTCTCGACGAAAGAGGCTGAATATGTTTTCTCTTTCTTGTGTAGGTCTGAATATGGAATCGAATGAATGCATATCCCTTTTTGAATGAGATCTTCCTTGTGTACTTGCCTGTTGATGTTATAGTGTGCAGTTGTGAGAGCTGGGAAACTATTTGTGAGTTCGCGAATAATTACATGATTGCATTTCAACTGAATACTGTACTGTACTTCTTTTGCGCCTTCTTATTTGGAACAATGAGAACATCAAATTGTTTTTTTTCTTCTGTTGTTGCGTATATTCTGTATATGTTATGAAGAGTGAATTTTTAATTGTAAAATGTTTGTTTTACATGTAAGTGTGGGTAAGCATTTGAAAAATTGTGTTAGCTGATGAATTTATCAAAATGGATGTACTGTTGCTGTCCAACTCAAATGCAGTCATGTGAAAAAGCGTTCAATTGATGTACAACTGTAGTTTTAAGTATTATTTCTTGAAGTTGAATTTGGCACAGTATTTCAGGTATCTCACATGAAAAAAAAAATTATGTATAGCACAGTTCAACCTCTGTAAGTTGAATTTCTAGGGACCAGGAACAAATTTTTACATGAGAAATTTCTGATTTTCAAGTTGGGGAAACACTTTTTTTTGTGAGGAGGAGTGAAAAATGTGTGGAAAATCATAAAGTAGGATATTCTGCACCTAAACTTGCTCCTTAATGAGTTTATACACCTTGCTGAACTTGCAGGCAGGGGTTCATTTGCCACATTTGTCATTCAGTTTCTTTCAAGATGCATTAAATCATTTGTTCTCTTGATTTTCTCTTTCATATTTCAAGGAAATAAAAAGGCCTAAAAATTTTGGCTTATTTAGGTTTTAGAGAAAAAAATGTGTCGAGTTGGGGAGGTATTTAATGCATTTATTCTAAAAAGATTCAGACTGGTACAGTACTTCAAAAAATTTTATTTAGGGTGGTTTGACTTATCAAGGTTTGCACATACAGTATATATACTGTATTTTTATATTTATAATTTTTTTTTATGTGAGATACCTGAAATACTTTGTACTGTATGTACATACAGGGTGAGCCAAAACAAGTGAACTAATCTTTCCTCACAGTCCCAGCAAGCAGTCATCGCCCATACCAGCAGAAACTGCTGTTGGCCTCTATATCTGAGCATATATACAGTACAATGCAAAGGACAATACCATACATCAAGTAAAGGGTGGACCTCATATGTGAGCTCCGGCGAGAAGTCCACTCAGGGGACAAAGGATTATTGAAGCAACATGTATACTGTATAGCTTTGTATGCAGTATATTCACCATCCTGCAGGACCAAATCCAGCTTAATTTATAGCCATCAAACCGGATAACTACCCTATACAGTATATGTACATCTATTCTGATGTTAGAAAATTTTCAAAATGCACTAGAAATTTTACAGAGAAAAGCAATACATATCAGATACAGTACTTACTGTGTGGTGCAGTACTGCACCAATCATCATCAGCGTATGACAATGTGCTGATATAAAGAGAACATATATTTGCAACAAATACTTCTGTATCATAATAATGTAACTACATAGTGGAATGATGAACGCATGGATAAGCACTCCGCGTAACTCCCATTCGTGGATTCAACATAGCGCTGTTCGCGCAGGGGCCCTTTATTCTCCGGGTGTAGCGACTGTATGGTGGAAGTGTTGGAGATTCAAAATCTGTTGACGGTTAGGTTCAATTATTTGCGCGTTGATGTGAATTGCGCTTTGCACAGTTGGTGGCATTGCTGGTGGTCGTCGATTCTGCGATTTTTCTATCTCGTGTACATCATCTACGATTCTTTTAAATTTTTTCATCATGATGTGCGTTGCAGAAATTGTTTTTGATAAGGGCTGTTGGGTGCTGCGATGGCGGGGATTTCGAATCGAGAAAACCTGCATCCGATGACGATGCGACAGGTGTCCAAAGAAATCAGTAGCTTGATCAAGAGTCCACCTGAAGGAATCGAAGTTCTCCCATCTGAGAGCGACCTTACCGACATACACGCGATCATTCACGGACCCACCGGGACACCTTACGCTGGCGGCCTTTTCAAAATACGCCTTATTCTTGGGAAAGACTACCCCCAAACTCCCCCGAAAGGTTACTTCCTGACGAAAATATTTCATCCAAATGTGTCGAGCAGTGGAGAGATTTGTGTGAATACCTTGAAGAAAGATTGGGAGAGTAGTATGGGCATCATGCATATTTTGATCGTGATCAAGTGTCTTCTGATTGTACCAAATCCCGAGTCTGCCCTGAACGAAGAAGCCGGAAAGCTTCTTCTCGAAAAGTACGATTCTTACTGCGAGCGTGCTAAATTAATGACTGAGATACACGCGAGAAGACGAGGCGTGGCGGCGTCGAAGAAACCTTCAGAACAGGAGAATGACGGGGAGCCAAGTGCGAAGAAGGTAGCAGCAGATGATAAGGCCTCACTAGAGAAACGGAAGATCCTCAAAGAAAAGAAGCGGAACTTGAAGCGGCTCTGAGATCCTTGCGCGTTAGATTTTCACCTAATTTTTTTTTGTGAGTGCGATATATTAAATGGTGTATATCAAGAATAGGCTACGTTGTTTCATGTTCAAGGTACAAATGGTCGTTGATTTTTATTCCCTGTCTCGATTCTGGGGCCACTCCGATCTTGCGCACTCGTTCTTGCTTGATATCATTTGCCTCGTGAGCAATCTGCATTTTTGGGTATTGTCCGTGGTTTCTGTACGAGAAGAATTTGTCTGTAATGCTGTTTCTTTCATTTTTTCGCTCGTAACTTCACTTGAGTCCTCATTATGCTGATGAATTCGCGGTCGATTCATTCTAGGAAGCCATGATGAAACGAAGAATCGGTGTAAACGAAGGACGACAGGTTGTTCCAGGGTGGTTTTGCAATGAGGAAACTGTTCTCCAAGAATCTTCGCTTTCTCAGTTATTTTTTCATAAAAATGCATGTGGTCTGAAGAAATGTCGTGGAATGTTTCAACTTGTAGCTGATAATAAGCCTGGAATCGTCAGAAAGAAGACGGAAAAGTTTGTTTCCGATCATCGCGATGGAATGGAATTGAAGATCCAGTTTTATGGATAGAGTTCTACAACACGTGCGTCGAAAGCCAAGGTTATCGTGATGGCCAAGATGCGATAATATTACTTCGTGAGTTTTCCCGAATTGAATGTTACATTCAGTCAAAGTGTTGCCCCTGTTTTCTGATGGTTACTCAATGCATTCATGATGCTTTTGTTCGGCAATCTCGTTTGCTACTACAGTATTAGTGTGTCTATAACTCGACTTGGATCATCTCACTCTAGTGTGAAGAATTTATGTTCTCTTTTTCCCCCAAGTTCGTAATCATGTTTAGTGCGTTTCCTGCTTTTCTCAGGTGCTGAATGTTGCCGAAACTTTCGATCAGAGCAGATGCGTTTTCCTCTTCTACACGATCAGCCCGAAGCGAACAAGGAAAATCCGCGAACTGTCCAACCTGAAGAAGGATGATCTCCAATACGTCATCAAGCATCTAATTCCAGCTGAGGAAGGAAAGAAGCCGAGTTTCAAGTTCCCGGAAATGTAACAATTTGTTACCCAACTGCCAAGTCAAGTAGGTCGTTTTCTTATTTTCAAAAAACTTCCTAATCTCTCGTAATTTTTTCTTCATGATTAGCAACGAGTTCAATGTAAGATACCTTGCTCATGAGTTCATATATGTGTTTAGTTGTCGAATACATATTATCACGCGTTGATTACTGTATTTCAATTTGATTTATGTAGCATGAGAGTCATCGGGATCCAGAGAAGAAGCGAGAGCAACGTCGGAAGGATCAAGATGCGTAGTACGCGAAGGTTTTATCCATTTTTCAAAAGGCAGCGGTGGAAAAGCAAACTTTGAGAAGAGCTCCACGTCTACCTGAGAACCAAAAAAATCTTTTGTCTCCTTGAAATGATCATCAAAAAATCCTGCTCTTGGTTCGTTGAGATAAAAAGGAATGAGGATTGCAATCAGGCTTTGTGTATTGGTTTCTGGTGCTGGGACCTGTTGGTGAATTGGCTTGATGTTTCCTTCTCAGGTTTGCTAAAAGTGTTCTCGTGAGGAGTGTACAGTTTCGTGCATCTCTGCAGCGTTGGAATGAAGTGATCCGATTTCGTGTAATACGTAAGACTTCACGATGAGCTCATAATTTTGAAAGATGATTCTTTGTTGAAGGTTTGCTTTCATATCATGTGCGCATCACTTGACATCACCATGTGTTTTTGAAATCACGTTCCTTCAAGATTCAAGTCATCGAAACTGGAAGGCCCTCATATTCTCATGATATTTCCAACTCTGTGCTGAACAATACTGCATGTCACTGAAATATGAAACGTTAATTTCTCGCTCGTGAAGTTATTGTTTTTGCGATAATCAAATTTATTTTACAAGACTTCGTATTTGTCGTGCTTTCCTGCGGTATGCGCCGGAGTGTGGTCCGTCATCCGTTCTCAGCTATTAGGTTTGTCAGCTGGACTAGAGTGGAACTCCTTGTCAAAGGTAAGCCCGCTGAAGATGTGCCAAAAACAAAACTGTGCTGTATCTCACTCGAACAATTTTTTGCTACAGGGTCGGGAAGGTCATGCCAATTTTAAAAAAGAAAGGGAAAAAGAGCAAGAAGAAAAAGGAAGAAGAAATCTTCACAGAGGAGGAATATAAGGCCTACAAATCTCAGAAAGAGAAGGAGCGCCGGGAGCTTGAAGAAGCCCAGAAGCAGGAGGCTGAGCCTGAGTCTGTTGCTGCCACCGCTGCGCCCAAACAAGCGGCCACAAATCCCCCGCCTCAGGATACCGCCGATCAGTGGTCTAAATTCCAAGAACTAACTGCCGGTGTTGATGACATCCTTCACAAGACTCAGGAGGATCTAGAAAGGATCAAAGGCGAATCCTTCTTTCAAAAGGTTGCTCCGCCGCCGTCAGAACCCGAGCCTGAGCCCGCGGAACCCGAAGCATCCGCACTCGAGCCAGAAGCTGTTCCGGAAGAAGAAGACGAAGACAATTGTCTGTTTGACACATCCTATCTTGACATCGCACCCGCGCTCGAGAAGGAAGTACACGCACTCACTGGATTCACAGTTCCTGCTTTAGATGATTTCCTCAACGACACGACTGATGATGCCCTGTTTGACACTGGGACTGTGAACGACGTTCTTGGAATACGGAAGATTTGCGGCGGGAAATTTGAAAACAAGAAGAGACGGGCCAGGATAAACCTCGACTCGGCTGTCGGTGTTCTCAAGTCGGAAGCTCCGAAACCGCGGCGAATCCTCCCGAAGGAAGATCAAGACCTTTTTGCAGTTGACAATTCCGCAGATCTCCCGTCGCTTGTGGCCAACAATGAGGGGCCGTCGTTGCTTGATGACCTGCTGAACTCGGATGATCAGGACACCCAGTTGGATCAAGTCATAGTCGAAAATATTGTCCGAGAGATTTTGCTTTCAGTGGTTTCCTCTGGTCAGAAACAGAAGCTTGACCTTACTGACGTCGATCCATTGCTTTCTCTTCCGAAGATTCGCTCGACTTCTCAGTCGAATACGATAAAAGAACTTGCGGGGCTCTTTGGTCCCGAGGAAGATTCCGGCGACGAGTTTGAGCAGCTAGCACTCGAATCTGCGAAAAAACCAGCTCCAGCCCCCGTCAAGAAAGACGATTTGGATGAGGAGGATTTCTTTGCGCAAATTTCTGGAATTCGACCTGGAATAGTCCCGACAGAAGAGGAAGTAGAAGAAGATCCTTTCGACACGAACATTGTCGTTGGACTGATCAAAACGGATGAACATAGTGGCCCAGAGAATACTTCGACAGACATCGACGTTGCGGCAGACGAGGAAATAGATCCATTTGACACGGGTTGCGCCGCTGAATTCGTCTCGCAAGTTTCGAATGAAACAGTCGTGATTAAGGACCCGTTTGAAACTGAAGCGATTGTGGATACGTGCTGTTTGGCGATAAAGGTTAACGATGTTGTTGCGACGACGCCTGAGCCCGAAATTCAAGAAGATCAGCTTGATCCATTCGACACGAGTGTCGTCAAGGACTTGAACATTCCCAGCCATGACCCAGTGACCCAGGATCCTTTCGAAACATACAGTGAATCCTTCCAGATAGCAGTTGGGCTTGCGCCTGATGCTTTGGACATACACGTGTTAACCCCGATCACCGACGGTGTCGAGCCCATTGTCCCAGCTGAAAAGGTAGAAGACAAGTCTGCTGACATAATTTCCATCCTTGACCCGCTGGAAGCGAATCCTTGCGTTGACGAGCTCTGCAAGCCGAAGGGTATCTCGAAAGAAGTTTTACAGTTGCTGCAAGAAGCTGAGAAGAAAAAGGACCCGTTTCTGGTCGGCCCAGATCCCTTCAACACTGACGTGGTGATTCAAGACCTAGGTTTGCCCGATCACAGCTCAAAGGGTCTCGATCTTTTGGGGGAATCTGAGAAAAGCATCCCAATCTGTGCTCCTGTTTTGGCCCCGGAACCCGCCGAGGAAATCGATCCCTTTGACACGACGTGCATCGACTATTGATCAATCTAGTTTTGGCTTCCAGTTGTTCCGAGTCGTTCTTTTCACGATGGCGAATAATCCATTTTTGATGGACGACATGATGGGAGGATTCGGAGATGCCTCGAACCCGTTCCTGTCCGGCATGTCGACCTTCGAGTCTGAAGTGCTGGACATTCCGGATGCATGCAATTACAACCAGGATCTGAATCCCTTCCTTTCCATCATCGATGATGTTGGATCAAACTTTGTTCAGGTTTCGCAAAACGAGTCCTCGTTATGTCCTTCAGTGCCCACGCTCAAGATCCAAACAACGAATGACTCGCCCAGTTCTGCCAACGGTGCCAAAGATCTGATCCTCAGTGTCACTTCTCACATGGACAGTGCGTCTGCTGCTTTGCTGAACCAGATGCAAATTGCCAAAACGCCGATTCCCTCGCCGGATGCGGAACTACATGCAGCTCTTTCAAGAGACAGTCCGGAATACGGTGTTAGCCCTGATTCTGCCGTCGTGCCGGTGAGTTTTTGAGAGGAAATACAAGCTGTGGGAAAGATTGACGAATCGCAGGAAATAGTAGATGGCAATAAATTGGGTATTGAATTGCTTTTTAAATGAGTTGACAGTATGCTGAACTTGGAGGCAAGGGTTCATTTGCCCAATTAGTCTTTAACTTCCTTTCAAAACACATCGTTACTTTTTCATTACTTTCTCTTTCCTGTGTCAGGAAAGGTATAGTCAAAAGCAAGAAAAATAAATTTCGAATAAAAATATATATCTTCAAGTTGAACCTCTCTAAGTCGAATTTCTAGGGACCAGAAAAAAATTCGACTTAGGGAGGTTTACATTTTTTGAGATTTGGGGTGAAGGAAACACATATTTTTGCATCAAAGAAAAGGGGAAATTGTAGATGAGGATATTCTGGGCCTAAACTTGCTTCTTGATGAGTTTAAAGCTTGCTGAACTTGTAGGCAGGGGTTCATTTGTTCAATTAGTCCTTCACTTTATTTAAAAATGCATAAAATAATTTATTTTGTTGATTTTATCTTTAATATTTCAAGGAAATAATAACCAAAAGGCATTAGAAAATTCGACTTACAGAGGTTTGGGAGAACAATATTTCGAGTTAGGGAGGTTTTTAATACATTGTTTCTATGGGAATCCAGACAGGGACTTGAAAAAAATTCGAGTTAGGGAGGTTCGACTTAGCGAGGTTCACCTTGTATATGTATAAATAATATATAGTTTGAGGTATGGAGGTTTGAGAGGAAAAACGTTCGAGTTACAGCGATTTTTAATTATTTGTTTCAAAATGCATTCAGACTGGGATTTAAAAGAAAAACGACTTGAGGTTTTCGGCTGAGGGAGGTTTGATTTATCGAGGTTCAACTGTATTTCATTTTTTTGATTGAAAATGTCATTAATTTTTAGGAATTTCAGAAGTCATCATTCAACCCTTTTGCGTGCTTCATGGAGGAACCTGCTTCCCAACAACAAACAGAAACATTTACGGGCTTACCGTCAACAGGAACGAATGAATTTGGATCATGCATAGCGTCGGAAATATCTAAACCCGAAGGAAGTGATGCGCTTCTCGTGGATCTCTTGGGAGATTTCATGTCCGGAGAAGATCTTCCTTCGTGTTCACCACTGATGCCAACAAAGAGCAGTTTATTGGATGGTGACATTGGACTGTCTGATTTACCTACTCCTTTCATTGCAACGGAAGTTTCAGTAAAGGCGGAGAGTCCTGAGGTGACAAAGCCGGAAATTGTGCCTGTGGTGGAGACCCAACCCCCGACGAAAGTGACGCCTCATGTCGCGAGGCCGCCGCCGCCAAAACCGCCTCCACCCCACAGACCACCTCGCCCTGCTGCCCCGGTGACTCCGGAGGCGCCGAAAATTTTGGAAATGCCTAGCCCAGTTGTCCCAGATGAGGTGCTTTCTCCGAAAAAACCTGGATCAGCGTTGAGTTCGAATCGCGCCTCACCCGTGGCGTCCCCGGAAATCCCCGTGGTTTCGTCGATGCCGAGTATTTTGAACGAACCCACAACTGTTAGCCTTCCGAGTCAAGACTTTGAGGAGATGCAGATGCATATGGGAAGTGGAATGAATTCCGAGCGGATGAAGTCGGCCGTTGGTAATTTTCTGGATGACGAACCGTCGCCTGTGAATGAACAGCACGACTTTCATTCTGCGCCGATGGTCGATTTTACAACTGTTCAAAGAGAACCCATGGTTGCACCAGGTGCGCTGTGCTTGTCCTTTGTTCGAGTCGTGTAACTTGAGAATGTTATTATTGTTTATATCTTTCATCAGGACCGGAAGTTGCGATCGGGCGCCCAACACCTGCTCCCAAGATGGATCCAGTTGGGTTATCCGGGTCCATATTTTCAGTGCCTGCTCCGCCTGTTAAGATTCAAATGCAAGAAAGTCAAGACTTCGACGCTTTTGCTTCTCGATTTGAAAATGCCACAACGGGAAATTCAGCGAATTTTATCGCGGATCCCTTTGGAGGTTTCTCAAAATGACATTATTATTTTTTTAATCGGATTTTAAAAGAGTTGCGTTTATCTCTTCAAGGAGCATTTGGCGAATCCTTGATGTCTTTGGACGCGGAAACGCACGGGTTTGAGACTGGAGACGCTTCGGCTGACGCATTTCTTGCCTTGACAGAACCTCCGCCTGCCCCGAGAGGCACCCCAATGCATGGCCCTTCGGAAAACGCGTGAGTGCATCAGTGAAAAATGTTGGAAATCGCGATTATTTGTTGGTGAATGGCGACAGATTTCTTCCGGAAGTCTAAATTGTCACCTGCGTTAACTGTATCTGCAAACGAAACTTTGCAAAAAGGGTTACGTGTAGATCCTGCGAAAAGCCAATGGCCAACGCAGCTTTTGGTTCAATTCCTGCCTAAAACATTCTCCGCTGTCATGAGATGTAATGCCCGTATTTCCTCGAGTACCACGCGCGCAATTTTTTTCTTGAACTTGAGATGAAAAAAAAGGGGGGGGGGGAATGCGCTTCATAAGCGGGGATAAATTTTTCGAAACGTTTTAGAAATTTAGTTTCACATTGCACATGATTCTAATGAGAAATTTTGGACCATTGTTAACAGAAAAATCATTTCAATGGAAATACTTCAAGAACAGTCGAATTCCTGTTCAATTCATGTTTAAATTGAAATTTGAGTTTTCTTATTTTTCAAACATTGCGATTTTAGAGTCCCTAAAAATGGGGTGCGCGTCTTACTTGAGGGTGCGTGGTACTGTATTAAATACGGTACTGTACAGTGGGGACCCGATATGCATACCTAATTATTGTTGGGACTTTTTCCCTGTGTTTTGTACATCCGCGTATGAGATCGCATTTTCCCCCGAGACTTCAATGAGCATATATTTAATTGGTTATCCTGTTCATGAAAATTTTTGGAAAAAGTCCTCCAGAAATTGAATAACATTATTTCTCGATTCGAAGATGCAGAAAATGAGTGTGCAGAAGAGAACTACGCAGAATCTGATATTTTGCCTGAGAAGGAGCCCAAAATGCTAAGGAAATGCGCAAGTCTAGCTATATTGTGCACAGATGATAGAAAAACTGAAAACAAAGCGAAGTATTAGCCTTTTTGAATTATGCATCAGAGTTAATTTACAATTTTGTTTTGTTTTGTGAATACTGTATAACCAATTGATTTTTTTGTTGAAGAGATACGAACATTTTGATAAATGAAAATTTTTTCCATGATTCTATGAAAGTTGGAGAAGTGTCTCTACCTCAAGACGTCGTTGGGAATTTCGTTGCAGATTTTTTGAGTTTCAAATATCCCCGAGTCGAATCGTCCATATGCCGGGGCGTTTGTTTGTTGGGACCCCAGGACCCCACTGTGTTTTCATGTGCTTTCCTGCTTTCTCTTCATTAGGAGATTACAAGGATATGAATCATCAGCATCTCAATACGATGGCTTGTCACCGATTATTCCAATGACATTGCCGGGTCTGCGTTCAAGCGCAGCAGACTTGGACTCACCAGAAGCCACTGGTGAAGTTCAAGTCTTCAAAAATCCGTTTCTCGCTGGCGTCACCCCGGTCGATAATGGTAAATTCGCCTGTTGGTAAATAATATGGCGGGATTGTGCGAATAATCTTTCTCTAATTGCAAATTTCAGACGATGCTGGACGGTCGGGTGATTCTAAGGCATCCACTCCGCTTTTTGAGTTGGATCAATCGGAGCCCTTGCAACCGTTTCCCAGAACTACTTGGGAAGATGGAGTGGAGTTTATATCGTGGGACATGCAGATGCGTCATCCATTGAAGAAGAAACTCACTGGACAACGTTTCTGGAAGAAAATATTTGTTAAACTTACACAAAGCGGGAATATACAGGTTTTCAATGACAAGAACGACAAAGAACCGGTACAAGAACTGCCTCTGCAGCCGTCTTATTGCGTGTCTGAAATAGGTAATTTTTAAGTATTTTTTTTCTTCGTGACATGCATCGAAAATTAAAATTTTTCATCTTTGTGTTTTGATTTTGTTCACCTCGAATTACCATGTTTACTCAAGCACCACGCGCCCTTGAGTAAGACCTTGGATTTTTAACTAAAAATTGTTGGAAGAATTGTACTGTATTCGCGCGTGAGATGTGCACCTTAGTTTTTGGTTGCCAAAATTCCTAATTGAAAAACTGTATTGGGTAAAAATCTAAATTAAACCCCAGTTACGAATTGAATTCGATGGCGATTTTCATACAAGTAATCGTACAGTTGAACCCCTATAAGTCGAAAGTCCCTATGTCTACTTTTTTTCAATTCCCTGTCTGGATTCCCTTAGAAATAATTCATTAAAAGCATCCCTTACTCGAATTACTGTATTTTTCTGGTCCATTGAAGTTTGACTTGAAGAGGTTAAACTGAAACATTAGACAGGGAACTCTGAAAAATAATTTCTAACTTGAAGAAAAGTTTCAAATGAAAAAAAATTGTCAGTTAAAATGTTATACCCATGCCGCGCATAATTTTGGTGGATTGGAAAAAAGTTGCGCATGGTACCCGAAAAATGTGGTAATAACCCACATAATGTGTTGGTTGTGAAGAGAAAATGCCAGCTTACGAAGTGACTCAGAAAACCATCTTCAACAGATTTCATAAAAAAAAAACTCCGCTTTAAGCCCAGAAGTAACCATGTGCATTTGTAATATACCACTGCCTTTAATTTGTGTATATATTTTGCTGGTGAACGACGCAGAAAGACCACTGATGCAGAACGCACAACGTAACAGAGAAAATTGTGCATTATATTACCATGAATACTGAGCAGTTGATCTCTTTAATTGTCACTGGACTGGTCTTCCTTTGGCCTCGTCCTTCACTTGCATTTTCTCTTGAAGCCACTTAATTGTTTTTTTTTTCATCTTTCCAGCTGCCCAACAGTTGGACCAGTTCGGGAAAATATTCACGTTGAAAGTCCAGTACGTGTATTACAAGGAACGTCCCGGAGTGAGACCGGGCCAGGTGTCCAAGGCGGAGCGGTTAACGTCCCGTCTGTCCCAGTTTGCATCTTACGCCATCGCGGGTGATCTCGCTGGCGTGAAAGAATTCGGTTCAGACATCAAAAAGCTAGGGATCCCAATCGAACACACACCTCAGGTACGCTTTCGTTATTTTGTAAAATAAACCTTCTCCATTTCACCCGTTCTGCTGAAGAAATGGATAGTTCAGTCTAACTCCGATGAGCGGCCACCCTTGGCAACCGCCACTTTATTTTGAAAAACAAATCTTCCCTAATGATGATAATATTGGAAACCCTGTTTAAATGCCATCCGCCACGTGCCAAAATTATTCACAACGCAAATATGCTCCTGCCAATTTATCAAGATTCAAGTTTCCCCGAGAGGTGTCCAATTGGGAAAAAGAAACACAAATATGACTTAAATTACTTCATGAGAACATTATCTAGGTTTAATTTACGCATCCCAGGGGTTTTTGATGGTTCTCTGGAAGAATGCGAATTTTTTTCCCTATTGTACTTCATTTTCATCTATTCTGATAAATCACCGACCCCCTTTAAACCGCCACAAATTTTGGCGGCTAATCGAGGTTTGACTGTAGCAGAACTCTGAGAGAAAATAATAAAAAAAACATGTTCTCATTACAGATATCGGAGCTGCTGAAGTTAGGCTCAAATTCCTACGAGGACCTAAAGATGTTCTCATTCCTTGTTGAGGAGCAATTATTTAAACTTCCGTTGCATCGAGACAGAAGCCTGACTTACAAGCAGGAGGAAATACAAGTTACGCTTGTGGACGAAGTTTATATAGAGCAGGAGCTCATGGGACATGTTACATGCAACATTGCTCGAGTTCGAGTTTTCTTCTTGGCGTTTCTTTCCGGTGAGTATTTTTTTTTTCGTGTTTATGTCATTTTTGGCGGTGGATTGCATACTTGGTGTTTTTTTGGGTATTGGTAGGAATGCCGGAAATTGAACTGGGACTCAACGACTTGGACAGGCAAGGGAAAGAAGTTGTTGGTCGACACGATATTCTCCCGATTGTGACTGAGGAGTGGATTAGATTGGAGGATGTGGAATTTCATTCTTGCGTTCAGGAGGATGCTTTCCATGAGTCCAAAAGCATCAAGTTCGTGTCTATCTCTGTTTTAGATTGAGCTTTGATTCTTTAAAAATCACCTATGTTTGATGTGTGCCTGATTCATCCCGCTGTGATTTCAGGTTCATTCCGCCTGATGCCACATACATCGAATTATTGAGGTTCCGAGTGAGACCTCCTAAGAACAGAGAGTTGCCGCTTCAAGTTAAAACAGTCGTCAACATCACTGGCAGAAAAGCAAGTTGCTTGAAATGCTATAGCTTGGAAATCTTTCTGTCTTTTTTTTTCAATTATAAATCACGGAACCCTCTTTTTTGTGCGCAGGTTGAAATCCGATCTGACGTATTGGTCCCGGGCTCCTCTGGTCGGAAAATGGGGCCGGTTCCATGCGAAGATGTAGCTATACGTTTCCCTATCCCTGAGTGTTGGATATACATGTTCCGCACGGAGAAGCATTTCCGCTACGGGTCGGTCAAATCCGCACATCGTAGGTGAGTTGGCACGATGTCAAATGCTTGTGTTCCCTTCGGGTCAGTTGCTTGTTTATGCATAATATTCATGTTGAACCTTGATAACCTGAGCCTCCATGAGTCGATTACCTGCATATGTCGACTTTTTTCAAGTCCCCGTCTGAAATCCCGTATAAAGAATGCATGAAAAACCTCCCTAACTCGAAGGCGTTCAAACTCCAATTTTCTGCAACCCTTTCGGCTTTTTTTTTTTTTTTTTTTTTTTTTTTTTTTTTTTTTTTTTTTTTTTTTTNTTTTTTTTTTTTTTTTTTTTTTTTTTTTTTTTTTTTTTTTTTTTTTTTTTTTTTCAACAGGAAAGAGAAAAGCAATGAAAATTTAACGATGTGTTTTGAAAGGAAATGAAAAACCAATTGGGCAAATGAACCACCCTTGCCTTCAACTGGAGCATCTTATTGAAAAAACGATTCAAAGCCCATAATTTTATATCACCATATCTGGGAACAGAATACATTCTTCCGGTTCCCCGACAAAAAAAATTCTCGTTTCCATAACTTGAAATTTTTAGAAAATGGGAAAATTTTTAGGTTTCAAAGTTTTGATGTCACTTCTAAAATTTAGCTATTTATGTGAAACAAAAAAGGCAGAATACAGTATATCCTATTGTAAATTTACTCTTACTCATCGACTAGAAGCTGATTTTGTGGTTTTTTTTTTCGTCAACTATGTTTGTTTTTTTTTGCTTTACATGCGTATTCTCATGTCGAAAAGGCAGATTATGTGTTGTTCACACTTAATGTCTGCATTTTCAAGTTGAGAACAACATACTGTATTTGAAAAAAGTATCAATTCTTTTTGCCAAAAAATAGAAGCAATTGTAAGTATCCCCATAAAGTCTGCGGGGAAAATTTGATCCGACATGCTGAAATTCAGACATCGGAAAAAAGGTCCAAGAACCGATTACGTCCGCATCTCGGGGCCACGCTGTATAATCAGTGAGACCCCCACATGCGCACACCTCGACCTGCGGATAATTTGTCATAGGGACACTTACTTTCCCCTAAAAATTGATAAAAAAGACCCGACATGGGAACATTTTTTTATAAAATTGCAAATACATTTCAGGCCAAATTATAAGAAACTGATATTTCCAACCCTAAAATTTATGTAAGAAAAGTTCTTGGGCATTTCTCTCACCAATTTACCATCCAATTCTTTCCCTTGCCTGTCCAAGTCGTTGAGTCCCAGTTCAATTTCCGGCATTCCTACCAATACCCAAAAAAACACCAAGTATGCAATCCACCGCCAAAATTATTCACACGCAAATATTTATTTTTTGTCATGCACTATCACGTTTCTGGCAGACATGGCAAAGTGAAGGGCCTGGAGCGATTTCTGGGCACCGTCGAAACTATGGAACAAGCCATGATGGAGGTGTCCTCTGGTCAGGCCAAATACGAGCATCATCACAAAGCCATTGTTTGGCGAATGAGCCGACTTCCTAAAGAAGGCCAAGGTACGTTGGTGGAATTGCGCACGATACCGGAATTTTGTCTCGATCTAACGAAGCGTTACGATTGTTTCTTCTCTTGGGCGTTTCAGGTGCGTACACGAGCCATACATTCGTTTGTCGCCTCAACTTGACCACTTACGACTCGCTCCCGGAACACATGGAAAGGTACTGTTTTGTCGAGTTCACAATGCCTGCCACAACAGTGTCACATTGCGTGGCCCGGTCCGTGTCTTGCAACTTGGACGAGCCGCCCGAAAAGTACGTCAAGTACTTGTCACGCCAGGAATACAAGGTCGCCGTTGAGTTCACTCAGGGCCAGGAAGTTGCATCGTATTTGGCCGCCACTAGTGTGCCCTCCAACACGAGGCCAGTTTCGCCTGCCTTGTCTGCTACTGCCAACAGCGAGACGAAAGGCGAGGGGGATTCGTCCGATTCGGATTAAGAACCGGAAAAAGTGCACGATCCGATCATCATTTTTTAGCGCGACGTTATTCACAGAAATGTTGAGGTAACTCATAGATTGATTGCGGCTTTGATTGTTGCGAAGGGACTGAAATATGCGGTGCTGAGAGAGACGCAGTGACAGTTTTTGACCTACGACGCGTATTTCAGTGGACCTCATTGTATACAGTATTTAGGAGTCGTGGGTGAAAGAGGAAATTTCAGGAAGATACCGATCTTGGTAACTAGTTGATCTCATAAACGAGCAGCAATTTTTTTTTTCCAGTGATTCATGGCTTAAGTAAGAATCTCGTGAGCTCATATGCGGATTGATCTCGAAAAAGCTCAGTGCATTAGTGACAGTTGCATTACCAGAAAAAGTTTGTGATTCCATGCGCAATTCCTATCGATCTCGCTCTTATCGGAAATCGTGATTTTTGTTGTCAAATATTTTGTTTCGTTTTGCGCTTTCTCGGAAACGTTTATCCCGTAACAGTCGAGAATACGTTCATTACATTCCAAATACAGTGAGTCATGGTTCCTCTTGTGGCGATTTGAAAGCATTTCAGGTTTTGCTTGAACACCCGAGAAGGGAGAAAAAAGTAGAGCTTAACGTTTCAGTCTTCAGTCCGCTCATTTGAACTCGCTTCAATTCAGTGCCGGGGATGAGGGGCGTCCAATTTCAAGTGAGCCGATCCGTCTTTCTTCAATTTCTGACATCTGAGTGGAATCTTGGAAAAGAGGGAAAGAAACGGTTTGCTCGTGTCTACATGGTTAAAATGTTGCATGCGGTTACGAGAATATAATTCTTGTTGGGTTTCTTTTTTCGGGTGTGGTTAGAGAGAGAGAGGGGGGTGTTGAGGACGAGGAGCAAGATACGAAAGTGTAAATGTCCACAGTATGTTCAGCGTAGCTTATTCAAAGCAGCGGAAATCGAAATTTGGGCAGTGAGATTATAACTATGTATAAAAAAAAACAGGTTATCCAGGTTGACGAAATTGTCATTCAGCATTTTAAAAACCATTTAATTTAATTCGGTGTCACTCCAGTGTCAGGCTTCTAGTTCGCTGAACCCAGTTTCGTGTATCTTGATGTCAGCACTGGTGCGATCGGAATTTGTTGGCTTACTATACGCCAGATCTTCAATTAAAGAGATTTCATGTGATGGCTACGTGGTGGGTTGTGTACATTCATTTCATTTTTTTCATTGGGTGTCGTATTGTTTTTTTTTTTTTTTTATTCTGTGAATGTTTGTCACGCGTCAGTGACAATTTTCAGGGTTGCCTTTGGACGTCTTAGTGCCGAGAATACTCCCCTGTTGGGAAGCGCGCGGTTGTTCGGAAAGTGTGTGTGGCTCTCACAAAAGTTCTCAGAATAGTTATTAAAATGGCATGTAATTGAGCTGGAAAAAGTATTCTTTGGGGAAAGCATATTCTTTGGCATAAGAAAAAATCAGCCCTGTTTGACCAATTTTTTTGAATGTTTTGCACCCATTGTTGCAGCTGATGATGAAAATGGCAGAATTACCTTGGAAGACCTAGAGGCAACCCTTGAAATTAATGCCAAGTTGATTTCAAGAATTCTGAGGGGAAACCTGGGCTGCAACAACAAAATCTTCAGGAAGGGTGCGTGATCTTTTTAGTGGAGAGCAAAACACACTGCTAGGGTGAATTTTGCAAAACATTAAAAAAAATTGTCGAACAGGGCTGACTTTTTTCTTGTGACAAAGAATATGTTTTCCCTGAAGAAAAAAATTTTTTCAGCTCAATTATATGCCACTTCAATTATTATTCCAAGAATTTTTGTGAGAACCCTTGTATTTGGGCCTTGTGTGGGATTTTTGGGAAGTCTGACTGACTTGCAGTCTGACTTGCATATGCTGATGACAAATATTCTATCTGATGTTCACTGGGATTTCATATTTTTTGTACTGTAACTGTGGATGCTTCAGAATCCTTGTCTCATGAGAAAACATATTTTCAACTTTTTGATTGAAGAGGAAGCGATCTAATCAAGTTTAGTGGAGCATTTCTCACAAAATTGTCCTGACATGTGGTGCTAAAGCAACATTTTTAGGTTGGTCCTTTGCTTTAAACCTAATCCTGTGATGATCACAGCAGTACATAATTAATGAATGTCCCAAATGCACATTTTTTCAAGATTAAGAGGAAAGAAATGGTGGTGTCCTAGGCATCTATGAAATTTTTCAAAACTTCAGTTGTGTGTCATACTTCATTCTGATTAATCTAACATACAAATTTGATTTTTATGTTGGAATTTGCAAAGTTTGACAAATAATACTTGAAAATTGAGAAATGATTAACTATGGGTTTAATTCAAAATTTTGATTTTGTGCATGTCTAATGTACCTTCTGAATCATTTTTTTACTCTCCAGTTACATTATGTCATAAACCTACTGAACATGTAAGGTTTGTTAAACAACCTTCATTTGTAACACTGCATGGCATGGACACTACATATACAGTAATGTGCTTTCGTACCTCTACCTCCATAACAGGTCTTATTAACATTTGTACATAAATTGTAATATCAAGACTATTGTATCAAAAATAAGTTCATTTGCAGGATGTCCAAGAATCAAAACAATTTAGAAGTAGCATAGTTCAGCAGTATGAATCCTGAATTCTTCTCATGATAGACATTGTGTCCTTCATTCAATTCTGCTTCTTGCCGAGTCTGTTCTAAGTAAATAGAAAAAGGTTAAATGCTCCTCCCACTCAGCAAAAAAAAAGTAAGATGGATGAACTTTCTGATAAGCAAATTTTTACGTGAATGTAGATCATCATGTACTGTATTTACTCAAGTACATTACTGTACCATATGCACCTGGTTTTCTTCTAAAATTTAGACGAAAGCCTGTGTCTGATAAAAAAAAACGACGCATTTGTATAGTTAACTGCATGAAACATTGTGAAGTTTTGAAAAAAACACATAAAAAATTGATGTGTTGACTTGATAGAACTGATATATAATAAATTCTCCATTTTTAAACGTTATTTTTTAAAATTGGTCAAAATCTATCCGTTGGATAAATTCGAATCAAGTACATGAAACGCTCCTATATATTTTATAATCGCTCTGGCCTTTTGATGGTTGACAAGTTAATTTAATGTGTTTTGCTTTTGGGCTTAACTTAAAAAAATATACAAAATATGTTTTCAAGAATATTGGATGGAATTATTTCAGGAAATTCCATTAATTTTGATAATATTGCTTAAGAGTAATATGTTTGGCTAGAATAAGCATTCAAATTTCCGGAAACAAGTCGCCCTGAAATGGTTACAAAAATCACGCCTCCGCAAAATTAATCCCCACTTTTGCCATCCTCCGGTGGAACACGTGGAGCTCGATCAACCGTGATGCCGCAAGTGTTGATCGAGTAAGGGTGACCTTTTGTGAACTTGGAAGTTTTCTTGTGAAGTACTGCCTCTGTTACGATCATTTCTAAGCGAGGATTTTTTCATCGCATTGTTTAAAGCCCCCAGAAAATTATCCCGGTGCATTTTGCGAAATGGAAGACTCGATAGTGAACAGTGTTGTGCACGAAAAAGTACGTCCGCTGGAGTGGTTGATTGGAAGGTGGCGGGGATGTGGCGAAGGAAAGTTCCCCGGCATCGACGAATTTGATTACACGGAAGACGTGACATTTTCTACCGTGGGACAACCCGCTCTTAACTATCACGCGTTGTCTCGTACCCCGGATGGCTCGCGACCGATGCACATTGAATCGGGTTTTCTCCGCGTGAATATGAAGAACAACGATGCTACTGAGTGCGCATTCCTTGTTTCACACAATTTCGGTGAGTTCCTTCATTTAACAAAGTCGGCGGTATTTTGTCTCAACGTGGCGTTCCACAGGCTTGACCACTTTGGAGGAAGGGCTTTGGGATCCCGTGAAGAATGAATTGACGCTTGGAAAAAAAATGATCAATCGCATGACGTTTGCCAAGGATCCAGCAGTTACCGATGTACGCTGAGTTTTCCTCTGTTATTATTTTTTGCCAACTAAGAAAGAACGCTGCCGAAAAACCTGAGTGAAGGAAAGCTTTTGGTCGAAGAATATCCAATGAAAAAAAGAAAAGCTCAACAGTGAACATTACAGTGCACTGTTTTGAAGAAATCGAATTTGTGCCTCTCGAAGTTCCTCGTGTGTTTTCTAACGCATCTCATTATTTTGTAACTGTTTGAAACGAGCGTTTTATGCGGCAGGAATGTTTTGTATGTACAGAAATGTTTTCCACTGGATGCATTTTGGGCACTTCGTCTCGAGCTGTTTCGTGCCTAGAATTATTCCGTTGCTAGCTTCTATACCGGGTGTATTTTTAAAACTTCGGTGGTTGCTTATCCATCATGTGCAAAGTATTTGTAATGGTCGAATGGATTGCTTTCAATTTTATTTATGCCGAAGAAAACTAAAAATTAACCGAAGACAAAAGCATTTAATTTCACATTACTCATTGTTATTGCGGGAAGTTTCCTGGTTGGGTTATGTGCTAGGTACATTTTTAAAGCTTTTTTTCTATATGCCGGCAGAATGAGGTATAATCTTGGGTTGCACTCTAATTCGAAGTGAAGAGAACATTGCAAATTTCAACATGAAGTGGCATTGCCGCAACAGATCACATATTTTCTGTGAAGTGTCAGTTTAATTCACGTGCATTTTTCAGACCAAGCGAGTGTACACAAAACTGGACAAGGACACGATGGAATATGTTTTCTATATGGGAACTGCGGCGAAACCACTTCAGGAACATCTTCGTGTGACTTATCGTCGCGTTTGCTGATCATCCGGATTTTGTCGGCAGATATGATGGGCGCTAATACTTTTCACGATTCGAATGCGGTTTCTTGATTTCTCCGAGCGAAAGAATAGGGATTTTCTGTGATCGTTGTCAGTCTCAATGGAACCAAACGCATTCCGTTGCTCGTCTCTTTCATTCAGACTTCAAACTCTTTTGGAATTACTTGATGACTGTGATTATTTCTCTAGTAAAATGGTTCCTGAACTGCCTTTTGTTTGTGTTGATTGCGGGAATGGAGCATGGGGACTTTACAACTCCTACGGCACTGACATCTTGAAGCTCACTCAATGCGTAAGTTCAACCAACATTACTTTTTTTTAAATATTCAATATCTGAATATCATCTGTTAGCGAAACTGCGATCAAGCGGTCGACAAGTACATAGAATATGAAGACGCCATCGTTTACCTTGATATGCTTTTGCTGAAGAAGCCGGCGTATCGGCATTTTTTGTATAACACGAAAGAGAAGGTGAATACATAGTGCTTATCGAATTTTTGTTCCGAGTTGAGCGTGAATTATGGGTGTGAAATTAATTTTAGTCCCCATGGAAGCTCGTTATGTTTCTGTTGCTGTTTGAAGCGTATCGGGAATGGAAAGTAGCGACGGAAGCTCTGAAAACTCATGAACTGGTGTACGAAGATCCGACGTGGGAATATTATTTCCAGGTCCTTTATTTATGCATAGGTCAGTGCGATTATTTTCAAGTTCAAGTGCCGTATCGTTTGTTTTCATGTTGAGTGAAGCTGCCGTCTTTGTGTTTCGTCCCAAGTAAATTCGTAAATAATAAGATAATACTCAAGTCCAAAGGAAAAAAGAAGAAATGTTTACTGTTTATGATTTATAAACGGTATGTTTAAAAAGACGAATGTTACAGATTGCTAGAAGAGGAGCGAATCCGTTCGACTTGTTGAGTTAGATTCATTTTTCTTCGTTGAAGATCCCCTTTCATGACATTTTTAAAATTTTACTTTTTCTCTCCCTTGACTTCATGAACTTGCATTCTTCTGTGCAGATGTGTTGGTATTTGTTGGCTTTCTCGCTGCCGCAGCGTTTTTCACTGTGAGAAGCCAACTAGTTGTGAAGGGTTGTATGCTTGCAAGTTTGGGCCACATCATTACTTTGATCAGTGCACTTTGGAAAGTGGATGACCGGTTTCTGACGCTCTCTGTGATGTACAGCCTGATTTGTCAGGCACAGTCGTATTCTGGTGAGCATCTGATGCTGAATTCCTGAATGATGCATGAGCAGTTGGTGGATATTCTCGTGAATACCATGGAAGTGAGAGCTCATAAATGAAGAGCGGAACTCGAAAGAATGGAAACAGCAAGACTGATAATCGTATTTTCGTTTGGGTAGTTTGAGGTAAAGTGGATTAGATGAAGTTTTTCATTGGTAAGTTTTTCAAAACATTCGCTCTGTTGATGTTTTCTTTGTAGTCAGTGCAGAGCATGTCGTTCACGAATACTTCTCACTGGTGTAAATTGGTCAACGTTTTATTAATTGAGTGTTTAGTCAGTTATTCGAGTATGGCATCATGTCAATGTATTGCAAGATTTCAAAATTACTGTTCTTTGAGTTTCGATAGGTGTTCTTTTGTGAAAGTTCCCTTTTCCAAATTGTTTATGGCGAAACCTCTGGTTGTAATTGACTCTTGTGTGCGAACCTTTTTTTCAGTGGTGACGAGATGGCCGTTGCCAGTGACAACTGTGATCGTCGGAATCGGGTTTCTGTTAGTTCTCGCGATACCCGGAAGATCTCTGGTCTACGACGAGTTGTTGCGAAGTGATTTGCTTCCGGATTCGCTGTGAAGGATTTTTCGTTCCCAGTCGGACTCTTCTATTCTGTGATACGAAATTCTTAATTTTTTTGGAGTGCAAAAGTGGCACCAATATGGCTGCTTTCAGTTTTTTCGACGTTTCTTTTTCCTTCTGATTATTCCATCGCTTTCTCCAGGGAAATATGTTTTATCCGAAGTCGGATCTGTTGTGAAATGTGACGACCCTCTAGTGTTACGCGAAGACTCGAATAATAACATTTTGATCATGGAGAAAGTTGTGCCGAAACTGAAATTCGCGATTCCGCTGACGCATCGCAAATTGAGAGTGCCTGAGGGCCCTTTGGGCCGTTTGAAGATGCTCAGATACGTCGTCGGGGATGTGATCAAAAAAGAAAGGATTGAAGTAAATTACGAGGTGGGGCACGAAGCACGGCAGTACACTGAACGGGTGAGCAAAATCGTGCCAGAAATATACAGTAATGCCTAATGGAATCTGGTGACTGAAATTAAGTTATTGTCGCTCCTGGAGGATGAGTTCCCAACATGAAGGGACCCGGGAGCAAAGGTCCCGGGGACAAGGTAGAAAAGGAACCCGCGACAAAAAGTCCCCGAGGGGAAAGCGACGTGGGTCAATTTTGTCTCACTCATACGACGGATCGAATTGTGTTCAACTGAGCTGATTGTGTTTGCATTTAAAAGTATCGTTCTCTTTACTACTGGGTATTTTCACTCGCAGAATGAAGCATAGCATTAGTGAGTTTGAGGTGAACACGTTGGCAATGAGTCATGTAAGTTTACTATAACAGCACTGTCCGTGAATTCCTCCGCCATTTTAGATGGCAGAATGTCTGAGAAATATCATTTCGAGGAATCATGAGCCGTAATTGTAATGCTGTATGCCCTGACCTTTTTTCTGGCAATAAGCGAGTGCCACATGAATTAGGGATGTTTTATCAGAGGAAGATTTAATTGCGGGGTTCTACTAAAAGGTAAATGAGCTTCTCGCAGAATTGCCGAGCCATTGAGTCCGTTTCCGAAGCAAGTCACGGGAAATAATTTTATGCTGAAATCGTCAAATGGTTTCGTTTTTGTAATTATTTAAAATTTGTAACAATACAGAATGAACTCATCAGATTTTGTCTCGCATTGTGTCAAGTAAAGGAGCAGAGCTTTTCTGTGAAGTTTTGTATCAATCTTTCGATAGTATAGTACGCAATTCCAAGATCATTCATATTTTTTTCCTCATTTTTCAAGAAGCTGCCCCAGCTATGAAGATGCTCTTTGCTCTTGACAATATCCAAAAATGTCATTTAATGACCTGAAAATTTAAAAATGCAGTCAACTCCTGCATGACGGACTTAATTTGTGCAAAAGACTAGTCTGGTATGTGAAAAGTCTGTTATGCATATTGAATTATTAAAAAAATTAAAATTTTGACTTTTTTACCAGTAATTTTAAACCAACACAAGTCTGTTAGACAGATCTTGTCCATTGGGTGGAAGGAAAGACTGCCTCCAGAGGCGGTCTGTTAGGCTAAAATCCCTTAGAAGGGAGGTCCATTGGGTGGGGGTTGACTGTACAATTTTCAATATCATCCTGAAGCTGTACTCGAAGTTTTTGTATTAATCTTTTAATAAAAAGCACGCAATTCCAAGATCATCTAAATTTATTTCAAATTTTTCAAGAGGCTGTCCCAGCTATGAAGACGCTCTTTGCTGCGGAGAACATCCAAAATATCATTCAATGAGATGACATTATAATAATATGAATGAACTTGGAATTGCGTACTATACTATCGAAAGATTGATACAAAACTTCACAGAAAAGCTCTGCTCCTTTACTTGACACAATGCGAGACAAAATCTGATGAGTTCATTCTGTATTGTTACAAATTTATTGTTTCTGTATGAGGTTTAGTTGAATGAACAAATTACAGAGAATCTTTGATGAGAAATCATGTAAAGCCAACAGTTTATCTTGATCCTTTCAAGATTTCAGAAAGGGTCTCTTCATTGAATTCCAGTACTTGTAGATCTATCTTAAGCTTGTTTCTATCAGTATGAAATGCTGGACATAAGAAGAGAATAATAATAATATAATATAATTTTCAAAACCATCCTGAACATGGACATGTGCCTGTCATCAGTGATGACCAAACAATACCTCTAGAAAAAGTTTTTAATTTCTTGAATTTGGGCCCATTTTTCACAAATTGCAAGCATTTTTTGTGTCACTAAGTGATTTGACGTTGAATCGGGGTTTCCCTTGAGAAAACAAAGGAGGGAGATTTGTACCTTTATGCAAAAAAAGCACTAAATCGAGGGTTGACTGTAAATTGTTTTTTATTTAGTTGTAAATTTGCACAAGGAAGCGTTTGTAAGCCAGATCACGGCTGGTGTCCTGATTTAATTTTCAATCTGTTGATTTCTTTATCCTATATTACAGTTGATATCGGATGCCGTGCGTTACGGACCCTGTCATCGGCCAACAATGGAACTAGCTGATTTTTGGCTGATGGACAAAGCCTGCATTCACAAGCTTTTCAAAGTCCTCCTCCCAAGATATCAGTCAGATACGAATGCATCTCCGGCATTCACTCGTCTCGTCCGCGCAGCTTCCGCGTACCCTCAAAGGTACTCTGACCGTTGCGTTTTGGAACTTAGAGGGAACCCGTTCCCTTCGTTGTTTCATCGGGAAGGAGAAAAGGCCCGAGGCAGGAAGGATTTGATCCACAACGTTTTGTTGGCAGAGATTCGGAAGGAGCGAAGTGATCCGAGTGTTCAAGCTAGTGATGAAACTCATCCCTGAGTTAGTTTTTTCCGTGCTGTTGTAGAAAATTGCGTCAACTTTGATTTCGTTCGTTTTCAAGTACACGCGATGTTTATTGGTGTCAATAGCACTTGCCCTGATTATTATTTGTCATTTGTGTGCTTCGCAGGCATTTTTGATTGCCTTGTGTGTTAATCCGTTTATTTGAATGTGATGGGTTTTTGTCTGCGGAGACGTTATTGAACGAATGTGATGCGCGATGGATGATGCCTCTCGGAAAGAGAGGCTGCTTGCAGCCAGAAAAAAGGTGAGGAAGGATAAGTTTTGACATACCCTTTGTAATGTAATTGGACCCCAAGATACGGACGATTCGACTTGAGGACGGCGACTCTCCATCTCTCCCACGGTCCCCTTTTTTTATTTATTAATTTTCAAGTTGGCAGCCGCTACTATTCAAAATAAGCAGTATATTGAAAGATGAATTTAAAAATTCACAATATTGCTCCACTCTCCAATATTTTGATAAGGCTATGCTTGTGATGATGTAAAGCACTGAAATAAACGTGAAACTCTTCATTTAGAAGAAGAAATTTTGGAACATAAAACAGTATTGTCTATTTTGGCTCAGAGGAACTCTCCACCTCTGGAATGTTCCCCTTGGTCACAAAAAAATGTATTAACCCATTAAATGTCAAATTTACTACACACCCATTTTTGCTTCATTTCACTTCATTTACATTCAAGCATGCTGGGAACATTTATCTATTTATTTTAAATTAAATTTTTTTTTTTTTTTTTTTAAACTTGATCCCCAAATGAGGCTCACGGCGGGTACCATCTTCTTCTATACCAATAAGGAAAGTCTGCTATACATTGGAAACGCATTCTTTCTACTAAATTGTATTATTGTAAGCTAAATGTGATTGCAAACGTATTTTCTGATACATTTATGATGCTAGAATGCCACTAGGAATGAAATGCATAAATATTTTTTATGATTTTCCAAAAAGCACTTGAGTCTCAAATGGGGCCTTTGGCAGGTAATGGGTTAATGTGACCCTTGGCCACGTCTGAGTTGGGCAGCAATGTTCCAGGTTGACTAGAAAAAATATAATCTCGAGACCAGGGCACAGTTTGCCATTACATTAATTATACTTTTTTTTTTAGCTGCGTGAATATCAGCAGAAGAAGAACGTTAGTGGTTCTTCTCCGAATCCAGAAGATGGCAGTCCTGTGCGTACACCTACACCTACCCAGCAGGCATCGACGCCGTTACGAACCCCGACGCCGTCTCAGCATTTTTCAGTGACAACCCCGACATCTGTGATTTACGATGTTGAAGAGCAGCAGAAGAATGGGGAATTGCCGACGACGCAGTCACTGTTCGGACCTGCAATGAGTGAAGCGCAAGAAGTTTCCAAGATTTTCTCTTCGGAAGATGTCACGCCCTTTGATTTTATCGGAAATGCTGCGGAAGAGAAGAAAGTCGACCAAATTGCTTTGTGAGTTTGGGTTTCTGAACAGTTGAAAATAATTTGATTGAATTAGTGCAGTAAAATCTCGTTACAACGAACGCCCAGGAACGTGCTTAAAATGTGTTATAACAAAATTCATAGTTCTTTGAGCATGTAAAGACTTAAATTTTGAGGGAAATGGATAATATATGCTTTTTTTAATACTTCCACAGCAGATATGTGAAGAATTGTCTGAATTTCCACGCGCTTTGGATGAAATAATGGAGAAAATTCGAAGTGTGAAATACAATCCTCTCATTTCACACCTACCCTTTCTCAAATTTCCGAAAATATACCGATCTGAATGAAGTATGAGCTGAAAAAGATGCATGTGTAAGAAAAGCATTTATTAATTAAGAACTTTTTGTTCCCTGTACAGAGCAGTACCCTTCTTAACGTACGTTTCTTTGAAAGAATTAGCCATTTCTAAAGTCGAAAATAAAGCTAAATACAGCTTTATTTGAGCTTCATACTGTATTTCCTGCAATGCTGAATTTTCTGCTCAAAAAGATCAGCCTGAAAGATTGGCATATTTATTTAAGGCTTTCAATTATGCGCAAGTTTGGTTTGCCCATATTGTGCCAGTTTTGAAAATTTATATGACACATGCACAGATAATAATGCAAAACTTCGTTAAACTGATTATATATGACAATTTGTTGGTTATAACTAGTTTTTCTAACATAGTCCCCACGAAGACGCTGCCAGGACCCACAAAAAATCGTTTTGACGAAAAATTGCTCATAACGAGATTATTTGTGATGGAATTTTACTATATTGTAGAATTTTGGATTTACAGTCGAACCTCTGTAAGTCGAACTCCAAGGGACCAGAAGAAAAATTTAACTTGTACAGTTTTTAAGTTAAAGAAACCAGCCTTTTTCACTTTTTTGCTAAAAGAAAATTTTAAAATGCTGGGATTAAAGGACAGTAAAATTGTTGGATCTTTTGGGACTGGAGCTGGTGGATAAATGATATTACGTGATGCTGAACTTGAAAACAGGGGTACAATTGCCCAATTAGTCAATCACTTACTTTTAAAAATGTATCCAGTTGGATTTTTATTCCTCTTACAATTTATTTTTTATCTTCGAAATAATAGCATAGAAAGAAAGGATTTTAAAATCACGTCAAGGGCGGTTTGAAGGGGGAAGCCCTCGAGGTACAGGGAATTCGGACAGGACCAAAACAACAAAAATTCGAAATTGGGACGTGTTTGGCTAATCGAGGTTCAACTGTATTCATAATTTATCTCTCAGGTCATCCCCGCCGACGCAGTCGACCCCTGACCCCGCGGAAATCTCGGCCCACCTAAGCACAATCCGCCTGTTGGTCGACGAACGATCCTCTTTGGAAGCCGAACTCGCAGCGTCTCGCTCTGAAGCGCGCCTCAAAGACGCGGAAACGCAAGAAGCCAACAACCAGCTAGCGTGGTATCGTAAACGAGTCTCGGAACTCGAAGCTGCGTCTCAAGAACTCAAGTGTTCGCAAGAAAAGCTCGTGGGCGAATTGCAGAGGATGTCGGTGATGTCCGAGAGGAAGGACAAATTAGAGACGTTGGTTGAAGAGCAGCGAGCCGACGTTGCTGAATTGGGAGCGCGATTAAACGGGGCCTTGGCGGAATTGGACGATGTGAAAAAGAGGTATCAGGAGTCCGAGGCGAGATTGAAACTGGCTGATTTACGATTAGCGAGTACAGAGAGTGAGTCTTTTTTTATTTCCTTGAAGACTTTTTTTTTTTAACCTGTCCTTTGAAGATAAATACAGTGAGACCCTCAGATGCGAACATAACTGGTGCATCCAGAGTGTCCCTAAGTTGAATTGTCCCTAAGTCGAGTCTTGTTTTCCCGTAGACTTACATTATATAAATTTTAATTGGTGTTTTATGTAAGAAATATTCTTCAGAATTCGATGAAAAAAATTTGTTTGCCACTTGAATTTGATTCAGTGAATATCGTTTCAACCCAATAAAAACAGTTGAAGCATTGAATAGTATACTGCTGTACAGTTCATTTAAATGTTGGCATCTGTAAAAATAAAATCCAAGTCACAAAAAAAGAAGGAAGTCCCTCTTTGCTATAGGTACTTTTTTAAATTAGCTGAATGGATGGGAAAGTGATGGGGAAAGTACCAAAGTAATTTTCTTGCATAGTTCTTAGGGTTGAAAATATCTGTTTCTTAAAATTGAGCCTAATAAAAGTCAATTTCCTAAAATGTATTGGCAATTTTATCCTGCAATGTCCACATGTTGAGTCAGTGTCCATATGTTGGGCTTTTTTATGATTTTTTATTGAAAAATAAATGTCCCTATGTCGAGTTGTCCCCAATTCAAGGTGTCCCCGTGTGGGGGTCTCACTGTATTTCAATGTGTTTCCAACACATAGCGAATATTATACAGTACTGTATAATATTCGCTAGTTTCGAAACCAATTTTTGAATGGATTGCCATCAGTTGACGCATTGACTTTTCTCGAACAGAAACTGCCAATATTGCGTGGTGGGAAGGCGAGAAGGAGAAGCTTCTACAGGAAAAGGCGATGGTTGAAGCGGAAGCTGCTAAAAAGATTGCGAGTGCGAAATCTGCTGCTGAAGAAGAATGGAGTGCTGTCGTTGAGGACTGGCGCCGTAAAACAATTTCTGCAGAGGTTTGTCGTTGGCGTTTTCACTGGAATAATCTTCGTATCTCAATGTTGATTTCAAGTCAGATTCTCCTGAATTTAAGTTGGAATTAAGGAGAAACCTAAACGGCGACAACAAAAATATCTAAAAAAAAAAATATCGTCATGAACAGCGAGTATTAAAATAAACTAAAAAATCTTTTTCACGCATTCTGTAAAATTCACATCTTCTCATTCACAATATGCTATTAAATGGATCCACCTGCCTTTCAAAGTTCTTATCACTTGTCAGTGTTTAACTTGAAGGAGTTTATTTTTCTTCTTCATGAATACGAACGCTATGGAATCGATTCAGTATAATTTCGTCTCACTTTTTTCGCAGTTCTTGCGACTTCGAATTGATGTCTATCAACACTTACAGTTAAATCTTTTTTCAACGAAGCCGTTGGGAGCAATAAAATACTGTAGCTTCGTTGTAAAGAAAAAAAATTCTGTTTTGACATTGTGGGCATTCGGCAGAGACCAAAAAAAAATTCCCGATTATTCGTTATAACGAGATGTTACTGTACTTTCTTGTGTAGGATGACGTCAAGTTACTGCAGCAGAAAGTGTGTGAATTGGAGAAAGCCGTTGCTGATGCAAATGCATTCCGACTCGAACGATTGAAGGAGGATGAAGAGCGTGCTCGTGCTGAGGCGCAAAAGGCGGAAGAGGGCGACGCTGGACCCGCATGTCCGCACTTGGACTACGACGCTTTGGGTGTGTACAAGAAGACTTAAGTAGTATGCAGTATACTGTACTCACCATAATTCCATGAAAATAAAAATTGTGTCCGAATTGAAACTGATTCAATCAATATATTTTAACACAATATGTACACTTAGGGAATTGAATACTGATACTGTACCTCTGTACAGTACATAGAAATGTTGGCATTCTCTGTAAAAATAATATTCAAGTGAAAAAGAGAGAAGGAAATCCCTCTATGCTGGAGGTAATTTTTTTAAATTAGCTAAATGAATGGTAAATTGGTATGAGAAATGCCCAAGAACTTTTCTTACATCAATTTTAGGGTTGGAAATACATGTTTCTTTTAATTTGGCCTGCAAATTATTTGCAATTTTATCAAAAAGTGTTCCCATGTTGAGTCAGTGTCCTCATGTTGGGCCTTTTTTATTAATTTTTATGGGAAAATTAGTGTCCCTATGTTGAATTGTCTGCATGTGGGGGTCTCCCTGTAATCAAGGGAAATGGAGCAAAAGCAAGGTACAAATCAGACCCCGACATACAGGCAGTTTGACTCTGGGACACTTGAAAAAACTGGAAAAAATATGCTCAACATCCAGACACTTTTCCAAACTTTTATAGAAAAATGGAAAACATTATTTTTCATAATTTTGATGTCTCCTGAAAAATTTTAGATACAGGTGGACTCTCTGCAACAAAACTCGAAGGATCAGAAAAAAATCATTGTACAGAGTATTTTTTTGTGAAGAACCCATTTACCATGAGTAGAAAACCCTATGAGACCGAATAAAAATTCGTTGTACAGAGAAATTGGTTGCAGACAATATCAATGTAAAGAAAGACAGGGAGAGTCCACCTGCATTGATATTCACCAAAGTTGAACATAAATTTCATTTAAAATTTTCTCAAATGCGTAATCAGAAACTTACTAATTTTGTGATTTTTTGGAGTTTTTTTTCTCTCATCCGTGCAGAGTACAGCAAGACTTGTTCTTTACTTCTTGAGCTCCTTCTGATGCCAAAACATCAGCTTCTGTGAGGTTTTCTCCTGCGCAGTTATTTTCTGTATCTTGAAGATGAGAAGAAAAGTTGTATTCTAACTTTTATGCAACGAAATTCCAGGGCCCAGTAAAAATGCCTTGTAGAAAAAAAATTGTTTTGGGAGAACCCCTTCAATATGGGGTGAAAACCTCTTCGGACAACAAAAAAAAGCCCACCTGTACAATATTTTCCCAAGTGCCAGAGAATTTTAATTTTTTTAAATGTACCTGTACTACAAAGGGTGAGAGATTGGTCAACAAATTCGTCTTGAAGAATTGTAGGATGCACTCTGCAAGCTTTTTTTTTTTTATTGTTGGTACTGCTTTCTTCTTTAACAGTGGCAGACCATGCGCGGCTACGCTCTGTGATAGTAGGACTGGAGGCAGACCTGGAGGATGCTCGTAGAGTTGTTACGGATTCGCAAATGCTGGCTGCGACTGCTGCATCTGATCAACTGGCAGCATCGCGAGCCCTGGCCCAAAATAGGACAATGAAGAAACAGTTGGACGAGTTGCAAGAAGCCTTTGTCAAGATGAGTCACTCCAAAATGGCCGCTGCCAATGAACTCGACTCCATAAAGCACGAAAAGGCTGAATTAATCGCAAAGGTGAGACATATGCTCAATTGTTTTTAATGCAGTATTTCCTTTTACGCGAAATAGGTTTTAGGTGCAGCACAGTACGCTGTTTTTTTTTTCAAATTGTCGATGGATTTATTTTTTTCATTCGGAATTGGATGATGTGTGGTTTCAGGGAATGAACTGTTCTTTACCTGTACTGAAAAATTGTCCATAATGGTGCCTTCTTTTTTTCGTTCTGAAAAAGTCCGCTGTTTTGCAACTGGCATTTCATTTTTATCGGGCTCGTGTTATTTACGTGATTCCATTTGGCCCCGTAAAGAGTATAAAAGCATTTCGAAATTCGTCAACTGTAAAAGCAAGGAAAAACTGCATGTTTTTAGCAGGTTCTGTGTTTCAAAACATGTCAATTTTTCGCCTAACCAGCTCAGCTTGCAAAAAAAAAAAGTTCAAGTATGAAACACAGATTTCCTTGCTAGTTGGCGAGTTTTTCGTGGCATGACTTTCCCTTGATTTGCCATGTCGTCAGTTGGAAGCTTTGTTTTTTGTTCGCTGATTTTATACGCGTGGATTTCTTGCGCGTCAGTGGCTTATCCTCCCTACATTCTTGTTAAACGTGTTTTTAGGAACGATGAAAACCTTGCTGAGCGCGAGGTAAGACTTTTTTGTTGTTGATTGTCCATGCAGATTCGAATTGAAAAAAATAAGATGTACATTTCTGCTAAATGTGAATTATTGTGAGACTGTGAAACTTGGAATGTTAATTCGCTGGAAAGTAAGACACATTACTATCAATTCTATGGTGCGCAAATTCAGTATGTTTCGTTTTTACAAGAATTCGTTTTTACAAAATTTTGCCATACAATAAAATCCTTGGTGGTTTCTTGGTGTTACATCAAAATGCCAGTTTATTTAGTGTCCAAAAATGTACAAATGTTGGAAGAATCTTCAGGAAAATCAGATTGCAACAAAATTGTTGGGACTTTGAAGAAAGTTTTTTTTTTGGTAGCAAATAATCCGTTTAAAGGTGATCCAGAAAACATCGTGTCTGTTGGACTGAGACGTGAGATATAAATTTGCTGTAAGCAAGAATTCGTTTTAACAAAATTTTGCCATACAATAAAATCCTTCTGAAACAAATACTGTTACAACAAATTTTAAGCACAGCAGAAATCCTCTGGGGTACATGTTGAAATAATCTCATTGAAAAAAAACTTACCAATTTAAGTAAAATATATCGCAATATTTTTTTCAAAATATTTTTCCCATCGGGAATAAGTTCAAATCAAGATGTGAACTGAGTAATGAAAAACTATTCATTCGAAGGGCAAATGAGCAAAGCGTGGGCAAATTTTAAATTTATTTTAGTTTTTTGTAAAGTGACGTAATTGCCATAAAAATTTCTTGCCAAAATAAAATTTGCGGAGTTAGTGAACCAATCATTGAAGGCTGCCATTAGTGTGTAATGTGTTCATGATTATAACCGTGGACTCTCTTTACAACGAAATTCTATCTACAATGAATTTTTTCTGATGCCTTGAATTTTTAAAAAGAGAATTTCTTTATTCTCTCTACAAATGTGTTTTTCTCCAAATCGAAACGCTCTCCTTCAAAATTCAAGAGATGAGATTAAATGCATTGGAGAGATAATTTCGTTGCAGAGAACCCATATAATGTGGGGAAAGAACCCCATGGATCGAAAAATTAGTGTGTTGTACAAAGAAAATCGTTGTAGAAAGAGTCCGCCTGTATTAATAGTCAGTTAAAAATGTTTTTCTTCTGGGTCCATCCTGTGGAATTAAGTCACTGGCACGTTTTGTTAGAAGAGTAGATAAATCAAGTGACAGTGTATCTTGGATCTTCTGCAAACCTTTTTTTTTCAAGTTTACAGAGCTGCGGCATTAAGTCTCCTTTCAGAATCATGGAAATACAGTGAGACCCCAAGAGTGTCCCTTAGTTGAGTCTTGTTTTCCCATAGACTTACATTTTATAATTTTTAATTGGTGTTGTATGGAAAAAATATTCTTCAGAATTCCCTGAAAAAAATTGTTTGCCACTTGAATTTGAATTAGATCTTACATCAATTTTAGGGTTGGAAATATATGTTTCTTGTAATTTTGCCTGAAAAGTATTTGCAATTTTATCACAAAATGTCCCTATGTCGAGTCAGTGTTCTCATGTTGGGCCTTATTTATTGATTTTTTCTGGGAAAATTAGTCTCCCTACATTGAATTGTCTGCAGGTTGAGGTGTCTGCATGTGGGGGTCTCACTGTACTGTATTCATGTTCTTGGAAATATTGTCATTTAGAAATGTTTTTTTGGTCCATCCTTTGAAAGGAAGTTGCTGACAAGTTTTGATGGAAGGAGTAGATAAATCAAGTGGCTGTGTATCTTCGATCTTCAGCAAAAAAAAAACATTTTTCAAGTTTGCAGAGCTGCAAAATCAAATCTGGTCTGGAAATCAATTGTCAAATTTTTGTAAATACAGTACTGTCCCCCTTTACTCTTGAGCTGCTCTTCTTGATGAACCTTCTCACGGAAGACATCTTTGTGGATAGAGACTGATCAGGATGCCAATGCTGATCCCTGACTCTTTCTTCACGAAACCACCTGCCAAGCACCAACACAAGAGCAAGCCTGGAAAAACGATACTAATGCGTAGTCGCGGATCATCAAGATCATCATCATCATCTCATTGCTGGTTTGATGAAGACGAAACTAGGGCTGGAGAATCTCCTCAGTCTCTCTACGGATGCATGCCTTGGATCAAGTTCCCGATGTTTCCGTCGCATGCGAATATTTTACAGCCATTCATATCGATTCGAACGAAATCTGCCGATTCTGAGGATCGATCGTTGGAGCAGGAGGACGAGGCGTGCAAGGATTTCCCGAAACGAAACTGTTGCGATTTGCCGAAAGACGATGTTTATTTCGTTTGCTGTCGGCATATTTACTGAAAAAATTGTCACCGGTCTTCAATAAATTTATTCCTCGGCAACTCCTGAGAAAGATGTTGACTATAACATCATTTTTTGAGACTAGGATAAGTTTTTTTCTGTGCTGCGAACTTCTGTGCAAATCCTAACACTACATACGAGGGGTCTAACGAAAGTTATTGGGATCGAAATTGAAACGCATAAGAGCTTAAAAAAAAAGAGTTGATTTTCAGAAGAAGTATTCTTCCGCCCAAGAAGAAAATATCAGCCCTGTTTTTTGTTGAAAAATAATTTTGTTGTTGTTGAAAAAGACACCTTGGCAGCGTTCTGCTCTTCACTGAAAAAACGAGGCGCCCATCTTGCAGATTTTTTGGTGTACCCCAGTTTCACCTTCAGAATTCTAGAATTTGACATGGCAAATAACTCCAAGGGTTGCCGCCAGGTCTTCCAAGGTAATTTTGCCATTTTCATCAACATCCGCGGCATTCTCGTTCCAAGTGGCGGTTGTGAAGGCGACTTTTGATTTTTTTAAAATGGCGGAATCAATTACAGTATTGGCGGCAACCTTTGGAATTCATGCCATGTCAACTTCAAGAACTCTGAAGAGAAAGCTGGGGTACATAAAAGAATCTGCGAGATGGACGCCTCATCTTTCGCTTGATGAGCAGAAAAAAACTGCCTGGGTGACTTTTGCGACAAAACAAAAATAAAGGTCCAACAGGGCTGCATTTTTCCTATGGTACGAAAGACTTTTTTTTCGGAACAAACATTGTTTTCCAGCTCAATGGTGTCCCGTGTCAAGGGTCCTAAGACCTCAGGGACAAAGAAATTGGTTTTGGTGAAATGAATAGTCAGTCAATTGGCCATTTGAGGCCTGAGATTGAACCTCTACGAATTTTTGTATGTTTCCAAGTTCTCAAAGTTCACAAGCTTCTCGATTTACGCGGTTTAATTCGAAAAATCTTACTTCTAATGCACCTTTGTGGGGTGTGAAAAAAAAATATACTGTGCCGTGGTGCATCTATCGTTTATAACTGTTCTGCTTTGATCTTTAAAATGAGCTTGGTTTTCCTAGTGTGAGTAGATGTCACTCGATGACACAATTTCATTCCTGTCATCCAAGTTTGTGTTTCAGTACTGTAATTGCTACAATAGTACACCAGGTTTACGATGATTCGAAGGTGAAGGCGTGATTGGCGAGAAATCTTGTTGGAATAGTTCCATGAATGGCTTTTTCTTTATTTGGTGCAAATAAACTGCTAATGGAGTTCAAGTCCAGGAACATTTTATCATGCTGGTTTGTTTTTAGATATTTGCCATTTTTTCTGGTCTGAACCTTTGGTTTTGGACTGGAAAACGTCATTCGCGCAAAAGCATGTTCTGCGAAAAATGAAACATGTTCCGTGGAAACGAGTCGAATCGTGCAAAAAAATGACTAAATAAAAATATGCGGAATTAAAAGTGCCGCTTTCTTTTTTCCCCCCGAAAAACTCTGGAATGAATAAAAATGTCCATTGTTCAACTTCGCCTGTCGAATATTTGAGGTACAAATTTTATTGTGAGATCAATTGAAAAATGTTTCTGGAAAATTTCCAGCACCCTGTTCTTTGTTTTTTTTCATCGGATTTTACGCATATATGCTGCATGTTGAGCTACAAATTTTTTTTAAATTTTAAATCTCTGGATGTTCATTGAAAATTACCAGCATTTATGCCTGTTGGATTTTGTCGAACTGATGGAAAAATGATTTTCAAATTTCAGTTCGGCACCTTGGATGAAGAGGTGAGAGGTTTGCGAGCAGAACTCGTTGCCAAAGCGGATGCCTTGGAAAATTCGAGGAAAGAGCTGCTTTGCAAAGAAGGAATCGAAGACCGGTTGCAGCACTACCATGTTCAGCATCGACATTTGTCTCAGGGCCTCGAATTGCAACTAGTTGAAGCTAAAGTGAGCATCACGAAGCATTTTGTTTTTTTCAATCTTGTGACTCATGATAATAAGACGCCACCTTCAGCAACCCCCAAAATTTTGAATGAAACAAAGCTCATCTATGTTAAAGTCTATAGAAAACCTCGTTAAGACGCCAACCGCCAGCATTAGTGATGAAACAAAAGTGCTGTTTCCAATTAGTTTTGTCTTTGTTACAATGCCAACATTGGGGTATAATTATAATTTCTGCCAAGGATATTGTATTTGTAAGAAAAAAAATAATAATGATCATTTTGTTTAAAATTTTTGAGGAATATATTGGCCTAATCTTAAAATTGGAATAAATTGATGCAGCAAAATTTATTTTCTGAAAGATTAATCCATTGATCACAGCAATACTCTTTGGAAAATTACTGAAGTTTCTATAAATAACCTATATCTCTATGACTTTCGGAGGAAAATCAAGTATTTTTGATCAAATAATTAAGATTAAATATTTGATAAATCGCCAACTTCTTTAAACCGCCAAAATTGCTCTGGACAAGTGGTGGCGTCTTATTGGGGTTTGACTGTATTTCCCCTCACTCAAAAGTTTGTATCCTATTTATATTTAAATATGAGGCGCCGTGAAACGTAAGAAGCTCCTCAAAATTGGGAAAACAAATTCGTGCATAATTTGATCACTTGCTTCGCGATGTGCCCAAAAAGTGTGCAAGTTTCCCAAAAGAGGATATCTCCATCACTTACACGATATATTGCAATTGCCATTGGTTATGAAGTTATTAGACTTTGTTGCTTGTGGAAAGAAGTAAATGAAAATGGAAAATGATCAAATATTTTAGGAATATTCAGTATTGGCTCATGAGTTCAATTTTTCTCGAATTTTTGAATGATAGTTGATGAAGTGATGATCATCAAAGGCACATTTTTTAGACCACCAAGAGACTCTTGAGACGCATTCGCCTGTTTTCTTTGTAAAGAATAGATGAATTCTTGTCAAGGAAATTTTGCTTGATATTCGTTGGATTTTATGGTTATTAAACTGTGACTTGGGGAAAGATTTAAATGAAAAAAGGGAAACGAAGTCTTTCAGACATTTTCAGTTCTATTCGTTTGGTTCAGCTCGTGTTTCGAACTTTTCCTGAATTTTGGAATGTTAGTCAATGAAGTGATGGAATATTGATCATCGGAAGCACATTTTTTTAGACCATCAAGAGACTCTTCAGACGCATTCGCCTGTTTTCTTGGTTAAAAAAATAAATAAAAAACCGTGAAATAAATTGTTGTCACGTAACTTTCAATTGATATTCGGTATATATTTCCTAGTACAGTCTTGTTCTTTTTTTTTCGCAGACGACTATAGAAGAACTGAGACAAGAAAGGAACGAACTCAAGGAGCAGTTGGCGGATATTCGCAGCCAGCAGTTGTTGAACGGGGTTTCGGAAGTGAACCCTTCAGCACCCGGCATCGATGGTCTGACTAAACGACTGATCGAGGTTGAAACTGAGAAGGCTGTGTTGGCTGACAAACTGGAGAAACTTCAGATCGCCAGCAACAAGGAAGGACTTATCCAGGGTGCGATATACACACGTATTTTACGATGCACGATGCTTATGTGTGGTTTAAAAACTCTTGTTCGGGATGGAATCCCAAGGGAGCAAAGTTCGCCGTTAACGCCGGCCAGTGGTAGCAATCAGCAGTTTTTTCTTTTAGGAAAACAATGTTTTTTCAACGTCATTGACTTGTGTTTATTTCTTTCCCATTCCACGGACCACTCTTAAAATAGGGCGTGCGTTCTCCTCGCAGATCTTTTTTCTTCTGGTCTGAACAATCATTCCCAAAAACAAATTGACGTACTTCCCGGAAAACGGCGGAATGGGAAATTCCCCAAATTATTCATCCTAAATGGCGAAATATCGAGATTTCTGGTACATTCACGATTTTGTTACCCAGAAGACAAGGCCATCCCACAGAATCTTGTTTCCGAGCAAAATTATGCCCCCGAGAGGGAACACCCTCTAGCGGCAAACTTTTAAAGCGCTTGGCCAAAATTCAAATAGATGTCAGGCGAGACGCCCAAAATAACCGCTACCAGAATTAAAAAATAAAAAAAAAACGTAAAGCACCGAAACGATATTTTTTCTGGGCTTCAGAGAAAACGCAGCATTTTTTCGCCACGCTTATAAACTTGACGCTTGATTACTTTTATTCAGGGATGTCTGCCGAACTTGAAAACAAGTTTAAAGCCCTGATGGATAATTATGCTGCTGTGTGCGATCAGAAGCAACAGTTGGAGCACTTGTGTACTCAGTTGCAAGGGGAAACTGATACGATTGGTGAGTCAGTAACAATTCTCTTTTCGAGTGATGGGGGAAACTATGATTTTCTGTGTTTATTCTTGTCGTTGATGTTGATGAGTGGTGGAAATTTGAAGAGACATTAATGCGAATGGTTTTTTGTAGAAATTCTCTGGGTACGTTAATACAATTCGTCATTTTATTCTGGATTTCGTCTGGAAAATTCTGTGGAATCATTTTTGTAAATTCAAATTAAAGTTTTTTAAATCTTGGAAGCTGAAGCAATTTGAGGATACGTTCTGAAGTTTTTTTGTTATCTAGCGATTTTTGTGTTCTAATTTTTTTTTTGCTTGTGCCGGGAATGATTTAAAATATTTTCAACTGCATTAAAGGGAAGATATTTAACTGCCCAAGTTTCTCTCGTCGAAATCCCAATTTCATTGGAGGATTTGAGAAAGACTGAAAAGAAGCTTCTCTTTAACTGCTAAGATTTCTCCTTTTGGTTTTGACATTTTGTTCATGATCACTACGAAGATTATTCATTTATTTTATGTGCTGCAATTTCACTGTTCTTATACAGGTGGACTCTCTCTTCAATGATTTTCTCTGTACAACGAATTTTTTCTGGTCTTTTGAATTACGTTCTCGAGAGCGTCCACCCGTGCTATTTCATGAAAAATTTCCGATGTGATGCCCTTTGTAAGCAATTCACGTGCGTGAACAAAATTGAAAGGTTGTTCAGGAAAGAATGAAATATTTCTTTGAAAAAATGTGGTCCCCAACATCCCATATCCAAAAAGAATCCAGTGAGTCAAGCGCGTGACTGACAAAACTTATGAAACAACCCTGAACCACATAGTTTTCTGAGGATTAAATATGACCTAATTTCATGTTGTTGTTCTTTTTTTTATTGATGTTGAAAATATGTACTTGTTCGTCAGGTGAATACGTTGCCTTGTATCGCGTCCAGCGAAGCTTGTTGACGAGACAGGCGGAAGAGAAAGAAATGGAACTGAGACGATTGAACAAGGAGCGGGAAGTGATGAGGCAGAAATTAGCAGAACTCGAAGGACTAGTGGTGCAGCAGTTGAAGAAGGGCAAACAACAGCAGCAACAATCATCATCAGCATCGACATCAGACGCCGTCAACGGAGATCACTACGCGGAAAATGAGTCCCAATCCGCGCATCAGGAAGACGAGTATGGCTCAAAAATCATGGCGGTGTTGTCAGAAGTCAAAGAGTCGGACTTGATTGCTGAGCAGACTCTGGAGACTTGCTGCAACGAAGCTTTTCACCCTTGCGTGTGTTGTTCCGGGAAATTGATTACCGTTTGACCAAAATGAGGAAGCGTTTTTGTGTTGCTGATGGAAAGGTTTTTTTTTTTTTCGTTTTGTGTAGAATTTTATTTTGCTTTGTCATTGCTAATCATCGCACATTCCTCAAATCGTTCCGCGCGATGTTCGTGCCTTGTTCGCGATTTGACCACGAGAAAGGTTTGGTTTTTTTTTTTACACGTATTTCCTGAATTTCGTGATTCTAGTCTTTTCGGTCGTCTTGTCCTGTGGTTGCGGTTAAGAAAGAAATCATAGTTAATTGCTGAACTTCCGCGTTGCATAGATTTACCATTATATTTTTCGTTCTGGGTTATTTGGGGTGGTACGCATTGGCGAATGAATAAATAGTTTGCAATGAACTCATTGTTTGTTTTGAGGAAGCAAATGTGAAGTATGCATCGTATGTGCAGTCTGAGATTTTTTTTTTAGAATACAACGTCATGTGTTCCTTTGAGAGAATGGCCTGTTCTGACAAGTGCCGTGGCACAATTTCCTGTTGCATCTTGCGTTACAGCATCTAAATTTGTACCATATTTTTTTGGATATGATAGAACCTATGCATATGTGCAAAGAAAATATGCCCCTTGATTAGGCACACGTGGAAAATAGTATTTTGGTTTCTGTGGTGTGATGAATTCCTGGATTGTTTTCTACAGACTTGTTATTGGAAAGGTGCTGGAGCACATAAAGTACATTACTGTATAATAATGGTACAGTAAAATCTTGTTACAACAAAGCCATTGCAATGGGACCAGTAAAATTAGCTTTGTAATTTGAATATTAGAAAAATTGTCATAAGGAAAGAAAAAAAATTGAATAACACTGTGGCTGTTGTACAGGGGGCTTAACATTTATCCATTTTTGAGTAATTGTCAACAATTTGCTGCTGCATGAGTGACTTTTAAAAATATACATACTGTAGTAGACTTTCAAGCAAATAAAGGACTACACTAAAAATTGAATTGATGTTGCAATTCAACTGTTGGAAAATTGTATTTTATCCCCAAAAAATGCAATTTTCCTTAAAATTATTCAGAGATACAGCAAATTCTTGCCAGGAAATTATTGTCCACATTCATCTTCATGAGTATACTGTAAATATATGAATTGTAGTTCAGTCATCATGCCTCAAGAACCTAGAATTCCACCTCTCAAGACAGAAATCCATAGAATTGACATAAGTACTGCGATAACCATTATGCAGGTAAACAGTTACTGTACTTTCAAAAGCACCCTCATTTATGAAAATATAGTTGAAGAAATACAGTACTGTACAGTACTTTCTTGAATAACAGGCACTGAGCTTCTGTACAGCAGTCTATTGTTGCAGGAGTCATCGTCCTGACAACACGTGGTAATCCACTACATCGAAATGCCAAAACGTATCTGCTGATTTGTGCAGTCATAATAGAGAGAGAGGTTGCAAAGTTATTGCGAATCTGACACATTGTTGGTACTTGAGTTGGTCTGATTCACGTTTGGAAGTGTGTTTGCTGATTCGTGGAAAGCATGTTTCTGTGCCGCCAGTCTTGAAGACCTCAACGGTTTAGACAGCTGCCGTTGTTCTGGTTCACACTTGCTCATGTTTTTAATTTAGGTGAAAATTTGCCCATTGAAGGAAAATCGTGCTAATCAGTGAATAATGTCGAGCGAGCAACCAATTCTGAAAGGTGGTCACCTGCCTGCGGTGAAGGCTGGGGGGATGCGCATAACACAGCATAAGCCACCGAAGGAAGACAAACCGAAGGAGTCGAGATCTTCTGACGATGAAGAGTTCCCTGCGGGGTAAGGATGTCATTTCAAAGCCAGAGGCATTTGAGCCAGGAATCCGATTCTGACTGTCAATACTTTCCGGCATTAGATCGCCACCGAAACCTTCGCCACTTGTCATATCCGGGGCGGTCGTGAAAGGTGATGCTGATTTTCCGCCGGAGGCTATTCAGAAATTTCACAACAAGCCGGAGCCGAGCCATGACGATCGTCGCAACTCTGGCGCATATAAGTCCATTATTCACCAACCGAGGAAGTGATCGGTCCAACGCTGATCTTGGGACTCAGGAAATGACGAACTATTCATGCTGGAGAAACACTGTCGAAAGATCTTGAAGGAGTACTGCGGATTCATTTGTCTCTTTTATTGTATTTTTCTGGAGCTTTACGTTTGCTGTGCTGTTTTCTGGAAAGTAACTTGTGTGAAACCAGCCATTCCTGTCGGCGCTCTTTTGGTGGTGTTCGCTATCAAGCAGAGTATATATTTTGGAATCTGCTGAGACCGTTTCACGTCGAAGCTACCACGAATGTAAATACGCCGAGGTGATATTGCTGTGCGGAAAACGTAACTTTTCTTGGTGATCGGGGGATTGTTTTTTTTTTTTGGGAGTTCGACGGATGAAGCTCGAATAATATACGCGGGAATGGTTAAACCTTCCATCGATGACGGCAGTAAAGTGCCCTGAAAGTATTGTCCAACGACCAATTGTTTTATAATGATCACATATTCTTTGAACTAGGTTAAAATACAATGTTCACGTAGCTCGTTACCGTGAACTTCTAAGAAGATGATATGTACAGTACAGATATTAACAAAAATGGGAGAATTTTCTGACGATAGTGGAATGTGATCCCTGGAAACAGTTGTGCATTGGAGGATTTTTTCTGGGTCCGTTTTGTGTGAGGTGTTTTTCTCATGATAGATTTCGTTGCATTTTTATGAATTGGTCGTTTCCTGTGTCTTTTTGCTGAAGAATCTGGGCTGTTAGCCCAATAGTGACACGATGCAGCCGCCGAGTTTAACGACTGCGGCGACGGTTGCTTTCGTTGCATATTTCATGTACTCTATGTGGGGCTTGGCAAAGATGTTCTGGCCGCCAGAATGTCCAGCGTCGGAGAAGTGCATGAAGTCTTGTCTGAATGAAGAACCGGATTATCAAGTCGCCTTTGTAACTTCAGTGTACGAGAATTTGAACATTCAGCGGAGAGATATTCGGCTTCTTGATCACTGGGCTTCGTTCGATTACTCCCAACCGTTTGAAAAGTGAGGGAGCCCTTGTTGAAGTTCATGATTTTCTGTGAGCGATTCTTGAACGCCTCTTTTCAGGGAACTTAATATAACCTTGCCGGAAGCCACCCGCAAAAATGGTACCATGTTTTTGCACATATTCTTCGTTCCGGTTCAGAAGTCGGACAAAAATCTCGGTCAAGAAAGTGTCGATGGTGTGCTGAGGAAGGCTAGTCGACCTAACACAGCCTACCTGAGTTACCCCTTGATTTTGCATCGTGAACCGGATCCGGAAGCCTTTCAACTCCTGGGATCAGAAAAGAAGCGTAAGAAATTAACATACTTGTCTCAATATGGCATGACACGAAGTGTGATTCCATGATTTATTGTGTTATACATTTTTACATATATATTAATCGGTTCTTGCTCATCTGAAGTGATTTGAATATGCGAGGGGTCCAACAAGTGTTCTCGGTATAGAAATCGAAGTGGCGTATTATTGAGCTGGAAAATATATGTTTTTTCTAAACAGTAATTGTTTTTCATCTCAAGTCTATGCCATTTTAATTTATATCCTGAGACCTTTTGTGATCCTCGTTTAGTTCGTGTAGATGTTGCATGGAGCTTTCAAGTGGCTGATGAAATTTGCATATTATGATACGCTTCATTATGGAAATTTTCTGATAACAGTGTAGACGTGCTAATCTAATGATCCAGCTCGAGGTAGATCAGCGACGCTTATAAAATGATCTTGTCCCTGCATCCTTTGAATCGTTTCGCCGTTCTAATCAGTTGAATGGATTTGAATGATTTTTTTGCGCAGCCGATAAGAAACCCTCAGCGGAAGTTGTCCAACCGGTGTCGCACTTCAAGCCGACTTTGACATTCAACGTCGTCACTGAGAAGTTCCTCTTGCCAGTGGTGGGATTACCGCAGGACGTGGCGGTGATGATCAGTTATCCCCGATCCGATCCTCTGAGTATACCGCCTTTACTGTCTGTGGACTTTTCCGGCGATCGTCTAGCTTCTCAAGTTCGAGTCAATACTTCCATGTTGACGCATCCGTTCACGTTGAAGTACGCGCCGATTTCGTTCGGGAAGTTCCGTGTTTGGCGACAATTTGAGCTGAGTCTGATCACGCTGAAGGGATTCGGGTTTGGTGCGAAAGACGTTGATGAGGTGAGACATTTTTCATGTACGTGTATTTGTCTTCGTTGCGTGCTGTGAGTAATGTTCGTTCAGTCGTGAACTGAGCGAATTATTCAGCATCGTCGGACAATATTTACGCGAATATGAGCTGCATCCCAAATTTAGGGCAAGGATTTCTAGAAAAAAGGAATAATTTTGATGGGTTGAAATCTAAAAATTTCCCAATTCTAAAACTGGTATCCATTGTTGACTCAAATTTTCATTTAATGTGAATACTGTATTCAATCGAGTACCATGCACTCCTTTTCTCTGAAATTTGAGGGGAAAAAAGGAAGGCGCTTTGTAAAATAATATAAAATTTTAAAGAATGTGAAGTTCAAGCGTGCTTTATGCTTGATTCTCATGGAAAGTTTTGGACAAATTTTATCAGAAAAACTTATTTTTATGGCCACAATTTGAAGTTGGTTGAATTCAGGTTCCATCCATGTCTAAATTCAAATTTGTCCTGTTTTCGAGTACAATAAATGCAGGTATTTACACAAGTTTGAAACCAAGTTATGTTTTATAAGTGAATGAAATCGAGCATGCGAGTGTCCCACGAACTTATTCTAAATTTCTCCGGGATATTTATTAAATTATTTTTAGTGCCTGCTGAAGTTGAGGTTTCGTAGTCATCTATTTTTTTTTTGGTTTGCAGGTGAAATCAATCTTCGAAATGAACCCGACGTTGTTGTTCGTTACGATGTTCGTCTCTGTATGTCACCTGGTGTTCGACTTTTTGGCTTTCAAAAACGACGTTGAATTCTGGCGTGGGAGAAGGAATATTGTCGGAGTCTCTACTCGTGCACTCATATGGAGAGCTTTCTCACAGGTTTGTTTTCCTCGAAGATTTAAAGATTCAAATTTTATGAAGTCAAATGTAAACTTTCGTCGCCAGGCTGTTGTTTTTGTGTATCTTTGGAGCGAAGAATCCAGTTTGTTGATATGGATTCCGTCCGGAATCGCGGCGGTCATAGAACTTTGGAAGCTGACGAAGGCGTTCAAGATTGAGCTGAACTTGAGGTCTTTTAGTGTCAAGTTTGGTGTGCGCTCTTCAGATGAAGAGAAGAGCTCGAAAATGGACAAGATGGGCATGACTTACCTGGGATACCTTCTGGCTCCACTTGTCGTGGGTTAGTTAACTTTTCTTCGAAATTCTTTCCTTTTTTTTACATTCATTTACATTTCGAAGTTTTTGAAGTTGGAGAAAACGTGATCGTGATGAACTAGGCAGTGTCTAGAATGGATACTTGAGAATTCGCAATAATTCGCTTAGTTATTTCATTTTAGCGGGTGAAATTTGAAAATGTTGACAAGAAAGCGTGGAAGTTGTTGAGGATCATGAAGCAAATCGCTGCATGTCTTCCTATCTTGGAAAAATAATTTTTAAAACCCTGAAAGATCATTTGCGGACGTTTTGTAATCCACTTACAGTATTTTGATTACGAGGAAAACTTTCACATGTTTAGAGCTATATTGAAATTGTTTGCAGCTCTTTTCTTTGTAATCGAACGTTTTCAACAACAAATCTGGTGCTTTGGATATACTGTGCTGTGATTGAGTCCTCAAATATCTTTTTTTCCTTTTCAAGTGGAAATTCATTTATTTGCGCGTAGCTATTATTTTGTCGTGAAGTTTTCAACATGTTCGGGACATTCTGTGAGTCATTTTGGTCATCAATCGATTATTTTGCCTTTGCAAGAATTGTGGAAAATTTGTGATGAGGCTGTTACAAATTTTATGAATGTTGAGCTTCTTCCGTCGTTTATTGAATTTGAACTTCTAATGCACGAAAAGAGGCAATGCAAGGCTTTATTATTGCGTTTCAAACAGAAATGGTCCTGAAGTACATTATATAGGTGGACTCTCTCAGTCTCTCTACAACGAAATTCTCTAGAACAATTTTGTTTCTGGTCCCTTGAGTTTCGTTGTGGAGAGAGTCCATCTGTAATCAAGGCACTCGTTGAGTAAACATTTTTTTTTCCTTTTTCGGGTGAAAAAGCATTAATTTGCTCGTAATGGAATGTTGAAAACATATCAAAACGTCTAGAATGATCTTTGGAATAGTAAAATTGGTGAATTTGGCGTCAATCGATTTATTCTTGATTTACAAGATTTGAAGAAAAATTGGCGCTAAACGTTGATTGCACCATGTCTTCGAATGTACGAGATTTTTCCAGACTTTTTTTTATTTCTGCCGCGTACAGATTCCCAGCTGATTGCAGTGATGAAAATGAAAGTCTGTGCAGGGCTTTTTTTTTTTACCACGTTTTTATGAACTCACTTTTCTTGTCTGTCTGTCTGTTTGTTTGTCAGAAAACGTGGTTTTTTAGATTAATTTTTTAATCTACTATAATTATTTAATGCATTGAATACATTCGTCGCTTCCAGGTTATTCCATCTATTCCCTGCTGTACACACCGCACAAGAGCTGGGGATCGTGGGTAATGCAAGTCCTCGTCGGGTTCGTGTACGGCTTTGGATTCTTGTTCATGTTTCCGCAACTGTTCCTCAACTATCAGTTGAAATCCGTGGCCCATCTTCCTTGGCGGGCGTTTACTTACAAGGCATTCAATACCTTCATCGATGATCTCTTCGCCTTTGTGATCACCATGCCAACATTGCATCGCGTGGCTTGCTTTAGGGACGACGTCGTGTTCCTCATCTATTTATATCAGCGATGGTGAGAAAATCTATGGGATCTGATTCCGTTTTGTTTCGAAGTGTGATACCTTCAGTGTTCCCCTCTTTCTTTTTTTCTCCTGTAATGACCTCAGTGTGAATTTATCCAGCGTTGAATGTACCGTATTTACCACTCGAGTAACAATCGCATCTTTTCTTCTCAATTTTGAGAGGAAAAAATAGAGTACGCGTCTTGAGCGGGTATAATTTTTCAAAACAATTTTAGAACTTTGTTTGCATTAAATTTGATTCTAATTGGAATTTTTAAATCAATTTTGAGAGAAATAACTATTGTAATTGGAATGATCGAAAATTATTGAAATGAAGGATAAAATCATTAGAAATGCAAATTTGGATTTTCTGATTTTCAAAATGTTGCGGTTCCAAATGTCAGTAAAATTTTGGGTGGGTGTCTGATTCGGGGATACAATTTTATTATAACCAAAATTTGAGTGAAAAATCCTGGTGTGCGTCTTTCTTCAATTTAGTTGAATTTCGAGAGTTGGTTGATTAGTTCTTGACAGTTTTTTACGTTTCTCTTGTTGAAGTGTGATGGACGTAATTGTTTTTAATTTGACTCATTCAGGACCACTGTTGGAAATTTTCGCTCAACCAGGTTAATTTTGGGAGAGTGCAAATACATGTGTAGTACTTGAATGTTCATAAAAATTTTAAAGAAAGAAATGAGGCTCTCATGCAACTCTCTTAGGGTTTTATGGATTTTCAAGCAGTCCAAGTGCGTGCAAATGTTTATAATGTAATTGGAAAATCTTTCATTGATGATGTCGCGAAGAAATTTTGCTTTAATGAAGCCCAAGTCAGCTCCGAAACTGAAAAAAAGTCTGGAAAAAGCGACAGTTGCTTGTATGAGGTCTTCTTTTTTTTATCGATTCCACAATAGTTTGGAAGATCGTGATTGAGAAACCTGCGCGTTTTTAATTTGATCTCATGAAATTGACGAAACCCTTGAAACATTCCTCATACGTTTGACTATATTCTTGGAATATTCGGGGCTTGAAGAATGACGAAATGTCGACGAGAAAACAGAGGAAACTTGTGCAGATGACAAAAATTGAATTTTGTTCAAGACATTTCCTTGCTTTCTAGAACGTCAAGCAATTGCCGCCGTAATTTCTCATCACTGTAAAAAAATTGCTCCAAAAAAATCTGAATTGACAGGACATAATTGATCCTCACGTAAATTGGCCAAATGTCATGAAGACTCAGGCGACATCTGTTTGATGACGATTGAAATGGCTCTATTGGGTTCCAGAGAAGCAACATTTTAAATTCCTGTTCAATCGTTGACATTTTTTCCCTGAAATTGAATCAGTTTTCCCATTTACTTTGTGAAGGTTGTATCCGGTGGACAAGAAGCGTGTGAATGAGTTTGGCGACTCCTTTGAAAACGACGAAGCGCCCTCTGGAAACGAAACTCGAATTGCAAAGAAGCATAAGAAGCGTGATTGAAAACTGTCGTGAATACTATTTATCAACGTATGAATTTTTCCCGCGAGACATTCCAGCAATTTTTGTTGACTTCATTGATTGTTTTTTTTTTTTTTTTTTTTTTTTTTTTTTTTTTTTTAGCATTTTTGTTTGATTTTTTTTTTTTTTTTTTTTTTTTTTTTTTTTTTTTTTGCTGTGACTCGGGAGAATTAATTCAAGGCGATTTAAAGGAACTCTACGCGGTTTTGCTTTTATTAGGTTTGATTAATTAATTCTTGAAATTTTCTGGGAGCTTGAGGGTTTACATTATGGAAGCCGAGGAAGATGAGAAGTCTTGTGAAGATTTTAGCGGCGTTTTGATTCCCGGAAATGCGTCCGTGGAAACTTGCGTGGATATGCCTGTGAAAATCGAGACCTTGGAATGGCTCTCGAAAGACGCCCTTGATTTCGCACTCATGAACGGTGAGCGAATTTTTGTATTTGCGATAAAATGGCGCAGAGAGCAAAAATACGCGAGCAAAATTCTTCTAAATTCTTGTGATGCATTCGCAAACCTTCAATGCAGTTGGAAATGACATGACCAATCCCTCTAATACAATGATTGTTGGTTCAGAATTCAAGTTTTGAAAAGATTTCAAGTTTTTCTTTTTTTTTAATGTGATGATATGTTAATCAAAAAATAAAATGCAAGTAAACGCTACGAGGTTTGCGAATTTGATTCTCGATATGCTCTTGATTCATGTATTTTTTTTTCAAATTGCACTTTTTTTTTTTTTTTGAAGGGGCTGGAATGCGACAAACGGAAAGCTTCAGGGAAGACTGTTTGACAGTGATGCCGTTCACTCTGTTCCCGTCGACATTTCCTCGAGGAGAGTTTGAGAAAGCATGTGAAATGCAAAAAGCTTTGAATGAACTCGTCTTTCGAGCTGCTCACGATCACGCATTCCTTTCCGAATGTTTGGAGAAGTTAGTGTCCAGTGATTTCCGTTTTATTCCTCTCTGTGTTCTAGCACTTCTGGCTTGAGGAAGGATTTGTTCCCCTATTAGACGATGCTTTTATTTTGGTTCCGAGAGTGTCGAACAGGTGTCGCCTGAATTGTCCTTCATGTAATTATATTTATAATCGGAATATTCTAAATGAATATGATTTGAGTTTTTTCAACACATTCAAACTGGGAATGGTAAAACTGAACGCATGGTGACCTGGCAGAACTCGATTAACTTCGGGCGACACCTATACGAATTCTCAAGAAATTCATGAGCTAGAGACGTCAAGCGTACGAGAAGTTTAGGTTACCAAGTTCGCATTACTTTTTTATGGGTGAATATTGTCTTCCGCGGATTATGATTAATATGTAATTCAGGAAAAATTAAATTTTTGAAGAAATGAACCGCGGAAGAATCTCGTAATTCAACCGCTTTGTATGTAGTTGTAGCCATTCGCCGAGCCTCGAATTATCGATTTTTAGACGTGCCATAATCGGTTTCCTTTTAGCACGATACGAGTGGACCCGTTTACCGCAAGACTCTTCGAAATTTATACAAAAGTTCGCGAAGAAGGGATCGTGCAAGTGGGTGAAAATAAGAGAAAAATCATTCTTGAAATTTATAAATATTGAATATTAGTGTCGGAAATTCTAAAAAATCTGTATCAGCCCATTTCAGCAGCCCTAGTGAGGTCGGATGTGATGTTGGAAAGGTGTTGCTCCAGGAACCTGGATATGAAGTGTTCCTCTGGAAGCTTTTGCTGTGGGAATGCTGGCTGTTGTCCTCGACCGTTTTGTTGCTGGAGACAGGTTGAGATCAACACGATTGCCACTGGATTTGGTTGGCTGTCGCAAGTGGCTGGAAATATCCACAGGTTTGTCCTGTGTGACGAGGAATTTGGTGGAGATAGAATGGAGATCATTTGAGAAATTAGCCAAGAGATGATTGAATGTTGTTAATTACAGTAAAATTCCATTACAGCAAATTCTGGTGCAGTACTGTATAACACACTTGAATCAGGGTCCTAGCCGCTACTTCATCAAAATCATGTTTAGAACTGTGTTCCCCAAACTGTGGTCTGTAGACCAGCACCAGTCCTCAGAGGTTTTTTACCAGTTCATGGGAAATTACCTCCAACACAATACATTTATCATAAGTAGCAAGGAAGTCTGTTATCTCTATCTGAAACTCTGGAAAGACAATGGCAGTTGAAATTATCTTATGAAAATTTGAAGTTTGCTTTTTTTCCAAATACCGTATTTATGCACCTTTTTTCAGATTTCAGAAGAAAAAACAGGGTGCATGTCATAAGCGGTTACACATTTTTCAAGAGGTTTTAGGAAATTATTTGTGCATTATACTTAATTATAATGGAGAAATTTGGAAAAAATGTAACAAGAAAACTTATTTGTACTGAAAAAGTTGAAATTGATCAGATTTTTGTTTGATTCATGTCTACAGGTAATTTTTTGTATTTATTTTCAAAATTCTGTGATTTTAGATTCACTAAAAATTGGGGTGCCCATCTTACTCTGGGATAAGATTTTAGCCAAATTTTCCACTGGAAAACCTCTGTGCGTGCCTTACTCAAGGGCATGTGGTACTTGAGTAAAAATGGTAACACTTCAGACAAATTTTCACCTGCTGGAATGAATTTATATAATTTTTCATTCTGCAAAACCTTCTTCAAGCCTACCTTTCTAACCTTTTGAAGACATTCCACTACAGCTGCTTCATTGGTTCTTGATTTAATTCTGTCAAAAAAGCAGAAACTTGTTAAATTCTTGCCATGCAGTATTTTGTGCGAAACTTATTTGAGTCTGAAAAAATTCTATGAAACTCTGTTGGTCCACAGAACATTTTTGGGATATTTGCCAGTCTGCAAAAACATTTATCAGAATTTGCCAGTCTCTGGTTCTGGAAAGGTTGGGGAACACTGGTTTAGAAAACCCTGTCTGAGTGAACCTATTTTCATCTGGAATTTCATTATGTAAAAATGTATTTTCCTGATTCCATTCTTGAGCTGTAGTGATTCCTGTATTTTTTACTTGGCAGAAAATTGGAAAATCTTACTTGTGCCCCATCAAAAGTTTATCAAAATAGCAACGCTTGTGGTATTTTCCTGTTATCTCAGTGCCTCCTTTTCTGTTGTCTCTGTACCTTCCCTCTGACCAGTTTAACCTGACCTAACCTAACTGCCTCCCAAAATCAGTTTCTGCTTTCTTTGGGTTTCTGATGAAACTGATTTTGGGAGGCGGTTAGGTAAAGTTATGTTAGGTCAGGTTATGTTTGTTAAAAGATATTTGTAACTAACATAACCTGACACAACATAACCTGACTAACATAACCTGTAAAGTTAGGTCAGGTTATGTTAGTTAAAAGATATTTGTAACTAACATAACCTGACCTAACCTAACTTTACCTAACCGCATCCCAAAATCAGTTTCAGCAAAATGTGGAAAAAATAAAATTCAGTTTCTGGTAGGTTGTTGTGATTATGAACTTGTCCTAAAGATTTGTCGGGATGGTAGTACGGTCTAGGAATGAGGTACTGAGATAACAGGCAAGT